GGTGCATCTTTTATTGTTAAAAATTATTGCGTTCAATTTACAATTAAAATTATTATCATAATTATTTTATGCATTAAATATAATAATTATAAATAGAAAGAAGAACAGTGAAAGATTTACAGTAAAAGTAATAATAAAGGTGGATATAGACAGAAGGGTACAGATAAAGTAAATAGTATGTATTTTTAGAATTGTTTTTAATTTAATATTTATAAATATAATATTAATTTTATACTTCTATTTTTACTTATTTCCAACATGTTTTATAACAATTAATTAGTGCATTAATAATGTTAGCACAACCTCGAATCAATCTCAATATTATGTCTATGCTTTAATGCTTCATATCAACGCATTAAAATTGCGTGTAAATATTATAACAACATCCTCGCTTTTTTACTATTTTGCACGTAAACTCATTAATTACGTATATATGTGCCAGTGCATCGGCCAATTTGAACAGCTACGAATAATGTGGTGCGCGTCGTTGAATAACAATCATGCATCAACGAGCATCAAAGCAAAAATTATAGCGTGGAGATTGACGTAGACCAAACCACAATAAAGAGCGAAGCAAAAAAAAATTGTCAAAGTTATGTCATTTAAACAAGTAACTTGCACTAAACTTGTTCATCACGACGTTATAACTTTAAGCATATTCTACCCTATTTGGATAGATTGTTGTAGAAGTAGGACTAGAAGTCACTTCTTGGTAGAACTATTGCATTAACCCAATTTTCTCACAAGTGCTAGTTAGTTCTGTTATCCACAACGTTGATTAATGCATCGTTCATGTAATTCGCTTATAATCCTTTTTTTTTAAGTGTATTGATTAAAAACCTCATTCTTATTTAAATTGTTTAACGCTACAATTATTTAACATTTTTCAGAAGTATCAAGCAATGAATTTCAGATATACATCAGCGCGATAATTTTATTCCTTCAAGCAGAAAATTTCAAGTCACGGTAGAAACGCGTAAAGCGAGAAACGCGAATTGGAATAATGCATCAATCTTTCTCAACACTACGAAAAGTTTCAGTTGGTTAAATTAAAAGCTAATTTCACGAAGTAAATTTTTTTATTCAACGTCGTCAAGATAGAAACGAGGCGAACTGCGAAGCGGTTACGTTTTCATCGCGGCCATCTAAAAATGTTATTACATGTCGGATTACACGATTTAACGATAATATTCAGACTACCACTACTCGCTAATTTTCCATAGTAGCCATTGGTTCTCACCAGTTTTCCGAGCCTCGAAAGCTCTCATAATTTCAAATAATGGGAAAGTTTGACAACGGCGAGGGAGAACTTTTCGCAATTCAATTTGCTCCTATCGATTCTCGAGTCTTGGATATTCGCGCGGAAACGTCGTTCAAACTCGGGAGATTATCCTCAAAGCGTCGAACAGGATATTTGTTTATTCGAACATTTCATCGGGGATCTTTGATAGTTTTGAACAATCTTGTAGATTCAGCCCCCTCCGAGAAAGATGCTAATCTTTCAATTTATCTCCTGCGAACTGGGATAAGTAATTAAGTCCTTAGCATTTATGGCGAGAACTAATTAAATATAAATTTTACTTGTGTAAAATATTTTTCTTATATCGAGAAAATTGCGAGATGTACATATATTTGTAATCTATATTTTCTTTTAAATTTATTGTATAATTGAGATTGATTCTTGATAATAAAGTTTCAAATTAAAACAATTGAAAGTAGCTTCTAATAGATATTTAGGTGCTTTATTATTTACGATAACACATTTCTGACGGTAAAACTGTTAACAAAAGATGATCGCGTATCTACGAGTGACGAAAGTAAGAAGGCGAAGCTGCATGTTCTAATTTATCGAGGAACTTGGGAACGCAATTACGGGCGGCAATAATTAGGAATTAATGCCAGCTGCTTCCGATCGATATCAAGAAGCTGCCGACACAAGAGAAGCGATGCACATTTGCATTTAAAGCAGGCTAGGCTCTCGAAGACATTGATATATCCTTGTCTATATCGTAGCTTAGATCGAGTTTATTTATGGCCGTGAGAGACGCATACACGGTTTCGCACGCGCCTCCGAAGAGAGAGAAGACGCGCGGCACGGCAAATCCTTTCTAATTTAAACTCGAAAACCTTATTTCGATGCAAAACTGCGACTGGCACTTCGACTTGTAGGAAACTGGCTCGCATATACCATACCGCCGAAAATATAATCGTTCCCGAGAGTACATCGTACCCGAACGACATGAACTTAACGATTTAGTATATGTATATAACCGAGCGTGATTCAACAACGGTGAGGATTACACAATCTTATTATTATACGCGTTAAAATTCTTATACTTTATCCACGCAACTGTCGCATTGTCACTTTTAATTCATAATCTTTAATCCATAATCCATAAATAAAAAAAGTATGTTTAATATATTTAGTTTTTTTTAAATAATAAATTGTAAAAAATTATATCACATTACAATTATCTTACAACTATAATTATAATTATTCTAACAAGAAAAATGATCAAAATTAAGATTCCACAAACAATTTATTTTTTAGCAGTCAAAAATGTAATAAAAATTCAGTAACTTGATCTGAAGTTTTAATCATGTTGACGCAATTAATTTATTTATCAATAACTCAACGGTGTACATATATATATGTATAAATCAATGTACATACAACAGAATCGGGGTTCTTCACAAGCATGTCCGATCGAAGCATTTCCTGTACTACTTAAGCTACGGTATATCGCGTGCCGACTGCGAACGTCCATTTACTACTTACCGAAGGCGTACCGCGCGTCCGACCATACATTGTGCCCCTCCACTATTTAATCACGACAAATCCATTAGGAAGTACCGTGTACTTCCATTGGATTGTCCATTGACTGGCTATCGGCCGCAATGACGGATTCATCATGCTAGATCATTCACGATATACGGGTACTTATTAGCGGTATTTCCGGGTTAATACGATTATCTGTTGATCCGCGGTGAATTGCTGAATGCTGATTGAAAGATTATGTCTCGCACCCATATTATCGACGAATCGCACATGTTCACATATTGTCAAGGGGATCATTATCCTGTACACGATACACCTCGCCACACACCTAATTCTCTCTTACAGAGTATGGCTGCCAATGTGTTCCCTCCCCTCTTACAATATAATTCAGAAGATAAGAATTAGCTTATATAACTTCACTTATATTAGACAGAAAAAAATCTGCTACAATTTTTCACGGCTTCTTAATTGATTTTTAACGCCACATATTATCTACTGTTAAATTTACTGTGCAATCATTTGTTAATAAAAAGAAAACACGATACAATGACACTTACGACTAACGTATTAAATTATATTTTAAATATTTCAAATTCATTACTAACAAAATTCGAAATTTTCGACAGGCGTCTAAATTCGTTTATCGACCATCCTAAAAAATAATGTCGAACGTTTCCAGATCTACTTTCACACATGTGACACGCGAGAGCTTTAATATCTGAGTTGAATTTCTTCCAGACTATCACGAAGAAAGTTCGTTTTAAACGTTACTCCGGGGAGTCATTCGCTGCCGCCGTACGGAATGCACGGTTGCCCGAGGTGATAAGAAATAAAAATTATCATCATATGTGGATACCGCCGTGAAATGGCCTGTCACACGAGCACTTCGTCTTTGCATTATTATTTCTTTTACTACGCTGGGGGCCGCTTTTATCGTTGACCTTTCCATAACACTTTGTTTCTTGTATACGACGCGATTTCCGCGCCGCAACCGCCGTTTTTCCATACAGACGCGCGTGTCGTTTCTTCAGTTTATCGACATTTCGTCGCCGAAACAATGCTTGCGAGATCGTTTCAACAATATTACATCGTAAAGTCTTTAGTTTTTCTAATAAATCCTTTTTCACATATAAAAAGAAAGCACAAACTTATACTTTTTATTTAGAGATAATAATATACATATAAAATAATTGTACTTACTGTACTTTTTTTTTTAACACAATAGATAAATATAATATTAATATATACAATTTATTTACTTTTATTTGATTACTTCTTTGCAAACTTAATATTGTCTAACGTAACATTTTATGTAACATTATCACCTTCAATTTAAATAAGTATCTTTATTTCTTAATACTATACCTTTCGTCGTTGGTATTGCTATCGCGATCACGTTTTATTGAAAAAAAGAGAACGGTAACTTTCCAATAAAAATAAATATAAATCTTATAAAAGGCGGGAGAAAAATAAGAAAACGTGTTATACACTGAAATCGACACGCGCATGGACAGCATTTAAATGTCCGAGTCGTACCGAGGCGCGGCGCGCCTTAGCGCTTTTCTCGCCTTTAGAAACTTAGTTCATAAACTGCAACGCGATTAACTGGCGCCATCAACGTGACCAGGGCATTCTGCCTCGAAGGCGTCCCGAGAAAATCCGAGAAACAACGGCGATGTCCCGGCTATAATGCGAGCTCAACGTATTTCCCCGACGCCCAACTTCCGCCAGGACGAACGGCCGACATCCGGAGGCGGACTGCGTTTCTCTACAACTTGGTAATTGGCTTAGAACGAGCCTTCAACTCGCGAAATTCCTCTCGTGGAACCGTGGAAACACATATAATGCACTCGTACAAGTGCGGAGTATAATATTGTGGTCGCTTAACAGCGGACAAAGATTGCGCGAATCGTAAGTGGATGTCAAACAAATTCTTGTGACATTTTTTCTTCACGTCAAAAATTGAGCTTAAACATTAAATTGTGTTAAGTAGATATTCTGGTTTAAACCAGATTATCTCCTTAATATAATAACTTTGATAATTTTCCAATTATTTCTATGTAAACAACAATAATATAACAATTGTACAATATGCGTGGCATAATAAGCAAACTTAAAATTGAGCTAAAGATTGCCTGTAAATTTTTTTCTTCTGCAAAAATCCGTAATTTACTAGCTGTTCATTTTGCTCTCTCTTACGTCTATTAAGTAAAAAAAGAAGTCAATATTGATCTTCCATCGAGGAAGACGGTGTCACGATGTTCCTCCGCGCTTGAGAGATCGATTCGAAATGTACTTTTGCCTGGAGATTCTTCATGTAAAATTTCTGCAGGAGCGATGAATCATAGAAACTCTCGATATCAGCGATCCCGTGATGAATTGCCGCCTCGGTTTTCGTCAATAACAGAGAATTCCAGGGTGCCCATTCGTGCTCGCGTCGAAAGCGAGTCAGTCTCAGCTCGTCGAGGTCGTCGCACTCGGAGATGCCTGACCTACCGTGCCAGACTTTATTCACCAGGCGACAGATGACCTTAGCTCCGACCACGAAGGCCAGACTGCCGTAGCAACCCATCCTGGCTTCGAAACGTCTGACTTCCCACAATATCCTCTCGTAGGGCTCGTACACGATGCGAGGGCTTTTCCGGGTTCGCATGGACGTGCAATAGACGCAAGAAGAGGAGCGCAATCGCCGTTCGCGGGGGAACTTTTCCAAAGATAAGAGCCTGCCGCAGGTCCTACAGAGGCGCGTGATGCTGGTGTCTGACCAGTCGAACAGATGCGCGTCTTCCTCAATATCGCCTGAAAGAGACGAATAAAGATTATTAATTTATATTTTAAAGGAAAAGAACAAATTTGTCCGCCAGTGATTATAAACCAAGATATTTTATTTATTCGACTATAGCGACTAATATATCGAATAAATAAAATATCTTAGTATTTAAAGACTAACTTTAGAATTTAAAAATAGTTTTGCATATGTAAATTTTTCGACTTCAAGTTTTTACCCATTGTTTTAATGAATTATTTAAGGAAACTATTGCATCACCATCATAAACGAAGCAAAAGATTGAAAGACCTTGCAGAGTGTTGCGCGCCAGTCTGAGGAAGCTCAACTTCAGTCGATTCCTAAGCCAGTTGAGTCTGCTCGTGTCCACGCGACACATTAAAAGATCCAGCTCTTGGTCGATCAAGTAAACGAGCTCGTGTGACTGGCTGCACGTGTGCATATCGGCGATGTATTTCAGGTCGTGCAACAAGTCAATCCGTTCCGGGATGGACAAGTTCTCGTTCGACAGCGAGGCGTAGACATTCTTGTGCTGGCGAGCTCGCTGAATGCGCAGGGTGTCGACCAGGATCGGTCGACCTCGACTGTCCTGCCAGGTGATCGGTCTGGATAACTCGTCCAGAAATCGATGTCGCTTCTGTTCTCTATACTTGAGACGGACAGCGGTCTTCATGGAGTCTATGGCGCGCAACAGCTCGACCTCCTTCGACAGAATCAGGCCGCAGTTGGCGACCCTCGATGACCCGAGAAGCGTGAGACTCGCTCGCTCGGTCTCGAGGATTTGCCAACGGTCCAGGAGATTGTAGAGCGACTCGAAGTCGGAGCTCGTACGCGGCGGGCAACGATTCAGTATCACGAAATCCGTGGCGCTGTAGACGGACAGCGCCTGAGAACGTCCTGCGTGCTCGGTCACGTTCGCTTCATCACGTTGAGCAACATGAATCACTTCGAGAGCGTTTGCTCTAGCCGCCACTCTAGCTCGATAAGCCCTGCGAACCAATCCGAATTGATAATTGCTTCGAATTTGTTGATCGTATCGTAATTTTCTATAATATATAAGGTGTATTTTCACGAATTAAATTATAAGCAAATATTAGGTTGATAAAAATTAAAATTCTTTTTCTTTAACTTTACATCACTTTTATATTGTTCCGACAAAAGTTAGGAATAGTTACAGAAATACTAAAAGTTGTATGTTTGTATAATTTGGGCGTTCACTCTTTAATTTGTCAAAAAAGAAATTAGCATATATGCATTATAAATATCTTATTCGTAGTAAAATCCGCGTTTACCTATAACATTTCTGTATTTTAACGACGCTGTCAAGAATTCTACTATTTTTCTGGCGGGATGACGATTTGACTTCTTCGACTGACGCCGGCAATTTCCCGAAGGAAGAATTTCCAGGCGCGATAATTTTGTCACGTATATCGGGCAAAAATTGCATCGCCTCCACCTGCACCGCCTGGTCGTGAACGACATCGGTGACCGTGTCCACGACCGCGACGGTCTGCGTGATCCTGCTCCTCGTCCCGCCGTCGGCGCCGCTGCGTGTCTGCGTGCAGGCATTATGATAGATCAAGCCGGTAACGGTATTCCTCCATCCGCCGAGAAACGGCTTTGTCCTTGAGCCATAATCTTGTATTCTCGCAACGACCGCCATGGAGCATCAGCGTCTCATCCCGCCGGGGATCTAACCGCCTATGTCTTACAAGAAAAAGGTTTCGATCAAGAAAGTCGGAAAACAAAGGCATAACATCGCATAATAATGGATAGATTACGTTCCTTCCTTCGCCGCTTCCCCGCTCCTTCCTCTAGATCGAAAATGTAAAGTGAAGAAATATTGGATATCAGGTATGAAAGCTCTGGCGCATTTAGAGGAATGTTACTATTGTAATTTCCGATTATGGTGTATAATGTGAAAATAATGCAGTCTTCGTAGAAAACCACGCTTTAATTTCTCGATAACAATTCTCAGTTTTCAAATTATAATTTTACAGCAAGTGCAATATTATTTCGGCATAAATTACGGTGAAACATATAAAAGCGAAAAATTCCAATGTTTCATAAAATTGTAAAACCAGAGACGATGTTATAAAAACACAGTTTAATATATATGTAAAGTACACGTTTTAGAAGTCATATTAATATAAAAACTGAATATTATAATATTCAACGCATTTACAATGTAATATAAAGCGAGCAGTTTCCTTGTTTTTATTAATTTTTATTTTTAATTTCTTAGATTTGAGCAGAATGAAATAATAAAAATTAGCTTTTTGTTCGCAAAAAAATAAAGAGAAATTACTTCAAGTAGATTTATTCAATTTCTTCGGAGATTATCTGATTATTGTTGAGCGCTTTATAGTCTCGATAAATTAGTTTCTTATCTTTTGCAAAACATCAATGCAAAAAAAATGATATTTACAAGATAGGAAAATTGAGTTATATGCGTTGAAAATAATATATACTCTCTTCTTATGAAAGAGTTTACTTGCCATTATATAAATTATATTATTAAATTACTTGATAAACAATTTGTGACATTTAAGATCATATTGCTCTAAATTGTCTTTACTCTGTTATGTTTGCAGAACTGAACAGTCATTGCACAAAAGGCATGCGTTATTATAAAAGAAGGAGCCCTTTCAAAAATTAAGAAAAAGCTTCAGCAATTTTTGTAATACCAGTTACTTTTCTTCCTAAGAGACATTGCGAATAAAATCCAATCTTAGATTTCATATTTTCAAAATTGACACACTACTTATCTAAGAGAACAAATAATTCAGTTTATGATTTGTTTGTAAAAAGATTGGAACTTTTTTTTGCAATAGCCGATTCAATTCTATCGTCCATGAAGGGAAATATGATACTTTGCGTCAGCTATTTTACGTTACGGTTTACTTTCTTCTTTTAGGTTGGTTGAAACTGCTCGCGATCCTTTATCTTCAGCATTGTAATGCGATGGTGGCCCATCCCGTGGGGAACTCAAACTCCTACGTTCATAGACGAGTAAAAACTCGCCAGGTCCAGGTCAAGAAGGTGGAAGGATAACTGCTGTAGCGACCTGCCGCTGGTATAATGGTAATACCCGACAGTAAAGGAAATTACCATTCTCTCCGTTTAAGCTTTAAGGGATCTGACAGCGTCAGGGAAACTGCGCCAGCTAACACTTTGCACTTTTGCGTGAGCTTTGTCGCAAAGGATGCATATGTATTGCAGTTGGCCCTTGAGCGAGGGCCAACAGGATAAGTATAGATCGGAATATGAATAATTTTTCTAATATATAATCGAATAACGTTATTTTAATCATATTTTAAATATAATTAGAATCATGAAAATAATCTTGAGATTATAATATGCGAAATTTTTTATTGAAATGTGTTTCATATGAGAAATTAAGTAGTATCATATTTTCTATTTCAATATCGCGTAGCCAGAAATTATAAAAAATATAATAATATTACATATTTAAATAGGGTTTTTTTATTAGAAAGGATATTTAACAATTAAGGGACATGAAAAAAAACTTGATTTTACGATATATCGTTCCAAATTCCGTTCCTTTCTTAAAATATTGACCTAAATTTACAGTATCCTGATTGTCAAGAATCGTTGCATTCATACTGTCTGATATCGAATTCTACTTTACGACAATAAAGTCACGTCGTTCTTGGAGAGCGTACCTCTCTATGAAATATTTGTTTTATATATTTATACGATATGCCATATACGCGAGAGAAATATTTTCCGCAAAACTGTATAAGTAAGATGAAATAATATATATTTCACGATTAAAGAGAATATCGAAAACTGCCTGTCGGGGCCTCGCGTATCGCGTATCTTATTATTTAACGCGACAATAAATCTTTTTCGAATCCAGTGTATCTTCGCTTCGAGCCATTATTTCATAAACACATGAATTTATAGGTCTTTGGTTTCGCGGACCGTTGGCTCCTCAGACATTCAGATTTATAGATCTCTTATTTCGCGGATTCCGCACGTAGCATCCCAGATCTTTGACCCCAAAATCTTTCTCTCTCGTTCGAACATTTGAATCCACATATTCTTTTTATAGTGCAGTGTTACAACTGAGTCTAACTTATTTATAGTACTGAGCTTTTATTTAACAGTAAATTTAAATTATCCTCGACGCGTTGCGGCACAACCCAGCATCACTTCGTAACACCGAGAAATGTCTATTGCCCTTTTGATCTCTCAGGAATGTCTGACGTGGCGTGGAAAAGAACACCAAAGTAACACACGAAGGTCTCAGAGAGCGTGAGGATCTATTTTAGATGCTTTTCCCTCTTTCACCGCGACAAAACAAGAAAACACTTTCAGAAAACCCTCGGCGAACCGGCTGAGTAGTCAAAGAGAACGAAAGGCTTGAGCCGAGGAAGAGTGACTTTTGTCGAACAGTGCTTTCGGCGAGTAGCACGCGCGACGACAATTTGCGGGCAATAATTATGAAAGATGTTTATTCCGGTCCGAAGGGAATGAGAAAGAATGAAAAGGGTAGGGTCGACACTCATGTGCAATGCGCGCGCCGGCAAGCTCTCATCGCGTGGCGGGAATCACACCTGGGTACACTTTCTCAGCCATGTATGTCGTGACGCGAGACACATTTTTCTATATTATATATTATAAATTAACGCGGAGATGCCGGAACAGAAGGACGCGCGAGGTGGTGTTGCTAAGAGACGGCACGGCGCAAGCACGGCAAAACTTTTCCGGAGATCGTCACCCGCGCGGAGCGGAGGAAAGGGCACGTATAATATTTATGCAAAGCAAAGGATATCGGGGGGGAGAGGGGCGGGGAGACGGAGGAGAATTTTAAGTTAGATATAAACGGACGCGAAAGTTTGCCGTCGTCGCGACACCTTCCTCTCATCCTCGTCGGCGGAAGTTATGCGCTTCCTCGCAGCGCAACGTAATTCGCCCGGTAAACTCCGCGACAAATATGGGTGAAACGAGAGAGATTAATGATCGCGATAAACGAAGGAGTTAGACCATTGTCGGGCGAGTGACATAAATTGCTTAGATATCGTAGAAATATTCGGAGTTCTTGTAACCCAGGATTTGTTTTCTTCTTTTTTTTACTACGAGCGTTGTAATCATTTTTTCCAAAGGTAGAATATATTAACGGAGTAGATTGTGTGCAGATAGCTTCGATAATCGGCTAGCTAGTGGCCACATAGTGGCCACTAATGGACTATCTCTTGCTCGACATTTTTTTTGGATGGGCAAAACGTAAAAGCCTACAAATGGCTTTATATAACTTTACTTCGATCCATTTTGATTTCACCTACAATATCCACCTGTAATATTTTAAAAAAAAAACAAGAGTAAAGTATTTTATATCAGTATTATAAACATTTAACTTTAGCTTGCGATAAATCTTCTACGCTCTGAGAATAATGCTGTAGCAACATGGGGATGCTATACGCGTATATAAACGTGACTCTAGAATTTCCATTTGTAAGGCTCTATAACATTTCGGAATATACAGCTAGCGCTTTAAAGGGAACGAAAGAAAAGGTCCAGTGAGATACGAAGGATTTTTGATGGAAAGCTGAATTTTATGAAGTACCGCGCCTTCCAGTGTACCCACATTGATAATCGATCGAACGAAAAATGGTTTCATATTACGAGTGGGGCTAATGCTTCTTTAATAATCTGACCAGCCATTTTCTTTTACATCGGGACTCCTCTACGAAGAAGGAGAGAAATAAAAATAAAAATGACGATTGGAAATCGTTTTACATCAGCATTACGCAACGCGTAAATAACATATCAACTGGCATAGCTTTGTTATCGCAATATAATGAAAGAAGGAAATAAATAAACGATTCGATCTCGATTGCGCCTCTCGTGAATGATTTCGCGGTAAGAAATGAGTTTCGAGGCGAACAGAGCGTAGACCGCGAGCAAAGTAATTAACGCAAGCATATAATAGCAAATGCGAAGAAAAAAAGAGCGCTTGTTTTTGCGTTTTTGTAAGAGCGCGCCCTTAATTGGACGCTCGAGAAGAGAATGAGAGCGTCAATGATGGAGATCCGAATATTACGGACAATCGTTACATTCGTCGGATTTAATTGCCGCACGGCGGTACAATTACTTGCGGGCACATAAATATTGATGCATTATATTTTCGTCGATACCCGCCGCAAGCGTTCATTATTACAGAACGGTTGTGTGTCCGCTTGTTATGAATTTATTAACAAAACTCTCAAAATAAATACCTTGGGAATTTACGAAAGAAAATTTATCGAGAGACTTACCTAGGGCAACGCGAGGCACTTCGTCACCCACCGCACAATATCACACGGGGGGCACTTCATAATTTAAGCACAAAATCTTAAAATACTTACTTTTCGTCTAACGGCTTTATAATTTTAATACGGTTTTCGTGTGATTTATTAAAATTACGTTATCGCGCGCCCCGTTACGAGCCCGGAAAAGTGCTTTTATCGCGCGAAGCGATTGCATTTCGCGAAAGATTGAACGATTTAGTCGGATTAAACTGAGTTGGTGGGCAAAGTAGTGCACATCGTCGATCAAATTTTGACACTCGCACGATCCTAGAGGGATAAGTAGATCGCGCGTCGAAGAGTAGCTTTTAATGCGTCCTATACGTAGGTATACTACTCCCATGTGCGATGCGAGACCTCCGCAGCGCGGCATGGGGCATGGCACCTGAAAGCTCAAAGCCTTAAATCCAACGTTGCCAGTGGCAACGTGTGCTTGGTCGATCGGTCAAAAGCCTTCTCTTGTCCATTATTTTTCGATTCTGTGTTCCCCGGGTTCAAAAGCCTCCCGCGCGCGACGGATATATGAATTCAGGACTGGTGTGCGGCGGGCATAATGCGCCCCGGGGCAGAGAATTTTCGACGGCATTCATACGTCTCTGCTTTTCAGCGCGCTGTGCAAGATGCATATATATATAACGCATTCGAGAGCCAAACATGCACCTTGAAACCTCAAGTGTATCAAATCTAATACACGTAACGTTTTCGCGATATATGGTGCGTTCCGGAGCTTTTCTTAATATTATAAGTTAAACATTGTTAAACTAAAACTTTCAGGTAGATTCGGACAAACCTATTTCAGAAATACACAAACCTATTTCAGAATTTCGGTAATTATTGTTTTTTCGCTTTTTTTTTAATTTTTGTCCTAACAAATCGCATTGAACGTAAATAATCGGTTCGAATTATTCGCCCTCGGGACCAATTAAAGGTAGCGCAGCTAACCGATATATTTGCAAGTATAAGCCAGATTGTATTACGGCGATAAAGTGATACGATAGCGACTGGTGCCAGCGCTGGAACAGCGAACAATTTATATCCCGTTACGCAATAACTTTTATAGTGCAAAAACCGCGCCGCTATCGTTCGTCGGTGTACTTTCCTTACGTAAAAGCTTTCACTATCGCCGCGCCGGTTGCATCCAGGAGCGCAATATCGCGCTCGATTCTCGGAGCAACGTTGCATATACGATATGGCCATAAAACATTTTCTGCTATTTCTCCGGAGACTTGAACAATAGGTATATTGGCAGCTCGGAAAAATTCATACACTTCTTAATAGTAAACAGATATACGTACGGTAGACGCGCATAAATATAAAATGTACACATACATATTTGCCAGAGCAATGTATATCGTGAAGATCTATTAATTCTATTAATTTTATCAACATCTCGTTCCTTCAAATAATGAATATAAATAAAAATACTTAAAAAATATACATATAATATAGATGTAATAATATAAATATCAGCACGATGCCACTTATAACACGCAATGAACACAAATTAAAATTAAATCTTAATAACATTAAAAGCACTCTCTGGTACAAATAAATTATAATAATCCTCGACATTGTTCATCTTTTATAATTTCGTTGGACACAAAATTTTTCTACAATCTTGTGCTTCTTGTTACTGATAATATATTTCTTCTTATTCTGATTCATGATCTAAATCTAATATAAATCATCTACAATAAATTTGTAAATAGTAATTGGAAACATTTTTAATAACGAGTGTATCATTATTACATGAGATTAGTAAACAATATCAAGACACAAAAGTGCTTTTATCAGTTATTAAATGTATTTTAAAATATTAAGTATCTCCAATCAATTTCCAAATTTACCGTAGTATACTGTGAAAACATATCAAATTTTTTAACGGCTTTTGTTTCATTTGCTCCATTTTACTTTTTTTCTCTTTACGAATTTATGTGTAGATGTGTATAAACCACACATTTTATTCAGACAATATTTGAACGAACAAAATACAGCGAAATCAAAGAATGAAACTTTTATGTAACAAAAGTTTATTAAATCTCTGACTAATCGCTATACCAATATATAATTCGTAATAGCATCGATTCGATGCTACATTAAAGTTGAACCGATAAAAAAATATGTTACGAAAGGATTTAATCGTTTATTAAAAGTTTATTTAATCGCTTATTCAATCGTTTATTTAAACATTTAAAATATTCACGGAATTTAGCGTGATACAATTCCTTCTCTTAATTTGTATTTTTTAGATGGCTCGTAATTCTCCACGGTTACCGGTGGTTTGTACTCTATCCCATTTTGAATCTTTGAGAAGCGAAAGGATTCGCAGAAATCTTTTTCGAAAATAATCAGCTGTCTAAAAATATATTTAAAAAGTCAGAAATTGTTATACTATTTTGATAAAAACGCGTAAATAGTGACAGAAGCGTTCAAGTACACGTACTTGAAATAATTCTTTGCAATCTGATGTCTCAAATCAATCTGGCTTATCAAATGCTCCGAATATATCGCAGCGAGATCGTCAATGTAATAATGCATGTCGGCTTCGTCCTTCGTCAGAAGAATGCAATTCCAAGGCGCCCATTCGACGTCTTTCTGATATCTGACCATTCTCAGAATAAAAAGATCTCGAGTCTTACTGACTGCCGATTGACCTTGCCAAATGTGATTAACCAAGTGATAAATATCTTGCTCTTGCATCATAAATGCCAAAGCGGAAGCGCTGCCCCGACGTTCCTCCTCAGCTCGCACGCAATTTAATATAAACATATAAGGTTCGTAATCCACATGCGCAATATTACGTCGGCTTAGAGAATTGCAGCCTTAAGAAAACATGTATCTAATTAGTTTTAAAAGTTTATTAGTTTTATATTTAGATATAAGAAATCAAAATTCAAAAATTAAAATCTTATCAGTAAATTTTTAGGTAAGAAGTTTTATTTACATAAATATCTAATACTATGTTCGATACTCACTTTTGCAAATTGATAGCTTCTTCATTCTAGTATGTATTAAAAATCTACGGATGGGGAGAAGCTTTAAACAATTCCGGCAAAGTTTAGTTTCTGTTTCTAAAGGTTCGCGCAATTCGTTGTCCTTAGAATCCCTAGTGACACATTCGCAGCCGCAAATTCCATACATTCTTACAAAATTCAAGTAAGTATCTATAATATAAGATACATTTATTATGTTATTATACTAAAAGCAAGCACGTTGCAAGATAAAATAAAAGATTCTGGGAAACTCTAAATATATAACTTAATTTTTTAATTAAACTTTGTGTTAAATGCAATTTATAAAAATATTAACACTCTCCTTCTTACGTCTTTTAAATTATATTTATCGTTCATGAAATGTACAAATATGTTAGCATTGTCGAGCGTGGCCTATTTGACAGCGCATTGGTCTATTGAGCCAAAGGTCCCGGGTTCGATTCCCGGTAGAGCTAGAAAAATTATATTCGCTCGTTCTCCTCTCGGAAGGCAATGGCAAGCCACCGAGAGTATGTCTTGCCAAAAGAACTTAAAAAAAAAAAAAACATTTGGCAAGTGAATTTTGAAACATTGCTGGATGAATTAATTGCAACACTGTCTGCAATTTATTCAGTAGTGTTTTCGAATTCACTTGCCAAATGTTTTATATATTTTTTCATTTTTCTTTTTTCCATTTTTTTAATTTTTTTTTTTTACCATACCATACAAATAGATATTAATTTCTGTTACTCGTTTTTAAATATTAACAGTGTTATTGACCTCATGCTATATTTTTGTTAAATCACTTGATAAGGACCCGGCGCGAAGCCTGGGTCGAAACGTCGTGTAACTATATGTATGGATTGCCAATTTGTCGTCGAAAGAAATATACTTAATTTTGGTTTAATAACATTGGCGGAACAAACACTTACTTTGTGATACAAATTATTATTATTATTAATATATTGTCTAACCAGTGCTATCAGTTGTTAGTAAAAATAGTTCACTGATAGCATCAATTATTTATTTTTTCAATTTTCGTTATTTTATCATCCGTTATTATTAATAATATATAATATTACATTATTTAATATTATTAATATTAATAAACTTACGCGTTATCCTTTCGTTTAAATAATCGAGCGATAAACCCTCAATCTTTCGATTCAACAACGCGATTTCTTGATCCAGCAAAGACAACAAATCAAGTGCCTCGACACAATTGTGCATCTCAACCGCCTTTCTCAATGTTATCAATAATTTCATCCGTTCCTCCGAACTAACATCGCGATTGTTCAATGCGTTATAAATTTCTCTGAATTCCCGAGCCTTCTGAATTTTTATAGTGATCATCTCCACGAATTTTCCCTTGTAACCGCTCCATCTTATCGGCTTGCAATTCACTGTTAAAAATCTGAGAACCCTTTGTTTCCGATATGATCTCTTGATCGCTTGTTTATGTTTATCGATGTGATTGAGCATCTCTACCGTTTTCTCTAAAATCATACAACTCTCGGCACCCTGACCCGCCTTGAACAGCCGCGACTTTATATCCTTTAAACGATCAATCCTCCATCCTTCGACCAGATTATAAAGCATGTCAAAGTCCGCTCTCGATCGAGGATATATTTGACGAAGAATATTCTGTTTATGCCGCAACCTGTACAAAAAGGATGTAATATGCGAGTTTATATGGCACGAATATAAGATGTGGAATAAGACTACCCGAGCATCCTCAAAAGTGCTGTAAACAAAATATATTCTACGAAAAAGAATATGAAAAAAATTACTCTGATTATATTCTTGAAACTGTGCAAAGAGTTTTTTTTATATATCTTCCTGTCTCCAATATTTTCTAAATATATTCGAAATATATTTGGAAGAGTATATCAGGTTTATTTCTTACATCAAGCAGATATTTTTTTAGTAAAAATTTATTCAATGCCAAATAAACTTTTGGTTTAACAAAATTTTGATTTAAGATTTTATCGCACATTTAAAAATGATAATAAATTAAATATAAAAATACATTTATTTTTTAGAAAAATTAAACGTTTAAAAAAAGATAATAAAAAATGCGGAGGACCCAAGACACTCCAGATAAACTTTGCTAGTGAATAAAGGCTCATCGCGGCATATTAGTAATTATCTTAATTATTAATTATTTTTTAAAATCAGACAATTATTCTTTATTATTATAAATACAGAACAGAGAGTATAAATTATCGTGTTTAAAAGTTTCAATAAACGTTTTCTCTTTCACATTGAATAGTTCATGTCAACTGAATTACTTGTTTGCAATAGCTTTCTCTTCTTCGTATCTTTTACATTTATCAACCATGTCACGATAAGCTTGCGCGCATTCCTTGATGTATTTCCTCCATCTGTATGCTCGATAATTTCTCTGAATTACACGTGCATGCCGATCTAAATTAAGTCGCAAGTGCATGTCAACGTAGCTCTCATAAGACTTTACAGTCTTGTATTTATCCGCCTCGTTAGGTACATAATAGTCTTCTCTAAATTGATAACGCGAAATATTCAGTTAGTACGATTTATAAAAGTTTAAAGCCATTTCTTGACTTCAAAAGAAATTCAATACATATAATTGAGTATATTTATTTTAATTCACTTATTTCTTGCAGAATTATTGTATAGTTTAATTACAAATTAATAATGCAGCTAAGTTAATATACAAAATGTTTAATTAAAACAATAATAGAAAATTATGGTACAATAATTATAAAGATTACATAAAATGGAATTTTATTCTTGCGTCAATAAATAAGAAGGCCTTTATTTTAATGAGTATTGAAATTTTCAATATTTTCTCTCTCCATTTCTCAGTAGGTAATCGACACAATAATTTGTAACTAATTACATATTGTTACAAATAACATATTATAACAATATATATAAAAGAATAATTTTATTATTATTGCATATAGCATGCTATCTCCATAATATGCAATTAGACGCGATGTTATATGCTTTGGAGAGACTGGACACGTCATATAAATTTATTTAAATATTTAGTACCGCCACATCTGCGTCGCACGATGACGCAAGGATTGTGTTGCTCTGTCATTCGTTTGCACACATTGCACCGCCCTGCTATATGCATTCTTCACGGGTCCTCCCTTTGACAAAGGTCCGGTCTGCGAAGTTGCATTTACATATTCTACTCCGGTAATTTTATGTCGCCATCCACCCAGGTAAGGCTTGAGAATCCTTTGTTTTTCTATTCCAACCGACGAGATCATCGCTAAGAATTAGTGGTTACTTAAATCGTTTTTTCTTTTATTTATATCGATAACAAATTTTATAAACACGACGTTACAAACATCCTCTAACTTCCTCTAGATAAACTTTTTTACATTACGATCCTAATCGCGTATATGTTATTTACTGGACTTCATACATGACATTTTCTATTTTGATATAGATTAAGTTAATATACAAGGAAATATATTAACATAATACATTAATAATATTATGTTAACATATAAGAAAATAAAAAATAAATTGTACATTTTCTTTCTATAGCTCTTTATTACTTTCATTTAAAAAAAAGCATTTAAATAAAATTTTATTAAATTATATCAGCAAAAATAAAAAGTAACTTAATATTTTCTATATTAATTTATGAAGAATACGAAGAAAACAGTAGCACAAAAAAGTATTCAGACTTGAATTTGAGACATATAGCACTTAATTTAAAAATAAAATTCCAAAAAGTAATAAATAATATATTATTAACCTTAGCTAACCATACTCATTTTCGAGTCCTTAATTCGCCACAGCCCAGTTCGTGAGATCGCTCGACTTCGTCGCACTGTCATTTTCATTCTAATTAATATTTTTAAGCAAATGTTGTAGAAATTGGAAATATAGCAGAATCGGAATACAGACTCCGAGTAAGATGTTTATGATAGTATCAGGTCAAGAAAATAATTTGAATTTAAACTGAACTTATTATAAGGAAACTAGAAAATTATGTTATTATGTAAAGACTAGAAAACCGAAAAAAAAAACAGCGGTCCATTGGACCGGAGTGCGGCGAGCTGGTTAAAATGGTGTGCGAGAAAATTGTATCTATGTTTGAGATTTTTATCACTTCCTATATTGCAGAACGTATTTACAACTCACATCAATTTGTAATTCTTAAGACTCTAATATACTTATTTATAATATTCATCATAATTTTTTAGTTTAATGTACGATTTCCTACAAAACCAAAAAATTTATGTACAAATATTATTTCCTTCCAGGAACAAGGCTGCACAAAAATAGCATCAAATGCATTTAAGATTTAGGTACAATGAATTTTAAGATTTACAATGTGTTCAAACAATGGAAGGAAATGCATAGAACAAAGAGATCATTTAAAGATACCTAAAAGGAAAAGGATCGAATTAAAGACAGATACTTTTCCGCATTTTAGTGAAATAAATAACGTGTCCTTTACATTGTGAGAAAAATTGATAAATATGTGATTTAAGTTATTTTAATGAGAGGAAAATGCCGATGGCAAGAAAAATCGAAGACCGGTGGTTCCTTTGAGTCTTTTTTGTGTCCGTCAGCCAATAGCTTCAGCACCACAAAATTTGTCTTTGCTACTTTTAATAAATTGTTGATCTACAAAACAAAAAATTAAATAGTAAAAATAAATATTCTAAACTAGTTCTCTATTGTGCAATTATAAATTTATATTTTTATAAACTTACTTCGTTTTCTATTAAATTATTTGATGGATAAAGCAACAATGCACGTTCCAACATATTTCTAGCTTGATGAAAATGTCGACAACCGGCAACATATTGTATTTCACTGGTAACTTTTTCCTACAAGAATAAAAGTTAAATTCAATTTATCTGTTTAAAACATTAATGCTTATAGTGCAATTTCTATGTATTATGATTTAAAAGATATAAAACTGATTAAATATTATACTTACATTTCTTTTATGCATTTGAGCATTTGTCATGTCCAGAAATTCTTGATAATGAACGGGCGGTGGCGTTAACAAAGATGAAAACGGCAATAATCGATGCTCATATCTCACCCGCTCAGAATCGAACTGTATTTCTGGAAGTGGAATTTTTTCATCCATGCGAAAACCGACTAGAGCCTGAAAATTTCATAACTTCTTTATTATACACCGAAAATTGTATATCCTTTATTTGCAAATTTTTCTTTAAAATGTGTGTAACTTACTTTATAATATCCGCCACATATATTTTGCAAAGCCTGGTACATTAATATCTCCAAATTATACGGTCTAGGCGTCGATTTTTTCTTCTTATTCTTAGAGCTCTTTTTGCTTCTACCCTTATGAGTATCATTGTGTACGTCCTGCTCCGCTAAGAACGTATCAGCCCGTGTAATCGCAGATACGAGCCATCCGTATAGAAATTCATATAGATACCAAAAGATATAGTGGTACTCGTGCACCGAATACAACTCGAGCTCGAAACCACTTAATAGATACATGACCATCACACGCAGCGTGTGATATAAAATCCAGGTACCAAAACAGGCCAAGTGAGGCCTTGGTGTATCACTTTTTAAAGATAGAGTGTGCAAATAGCCATCAACTCTCTCCGCCTAAAACATGTATTTCAAATTTTGAACTTATTACTATTTTGTTTAAAAATATGCTTTATTTAAAATGAAATTGCTAATGTTCTAATGTCGTAAAAAAAAACTCTTTTAGATAGAATGAATAAAAGGGCAGACAACGAAAGATGTTATAAGAAAAAAACATGTAAAAAGTATAACTTAAAAAATTCCACGATTCTTACTTCATCTTGCAGCGTCGCAAAGTCTTCCAATAAATGTGCCAATTTATCTCTTTGTCTTGCCCTATTATGTCCACTGAGCTGCAACAGGTTTCCGAATAAGCCGACACAATGCGACAGAAAGCTGTCGACGTACTCCTTAGCCTGGTGATTCTGAAGCAACGTACTTTTTGGCAACAACACAGGTGGTGCGATGAAATTTCGCGCCGCGTCTCTCAGAACATCGGCGAAATTGTGAACACCGAATACGCGATTAGTGATAGGCAAGTAAACGATTTGTAGCATAGACCTGGACAATATGCACGGACTCTGACGTGAGAATTCCAAGAAAAAATCCTAAAAAGAAATTCGTTTAAGTTCGATATAAATTCAGCACTGATGACGAAGCATTAATTAATCGCTAATTACCAAGGCCGCGTGAAATCCGATATGACTTGTGATCTTGGTAACCATTTTGAATCTGTTTATCAATTCGCTTAAATATTCTAAGGCATCTATCCTTGGCTTAATTTTCGTGTATCGAGGGAACGTCGGTGGCAACAATCTTTGATTTACCATCGGATCAAATCCCATAATGTTTGGATGATTAGCTGCATGTATAATTGAAAATAACAAATTATACCTTCTTGCATAAATATTGCTCCTCGTATAAGAGAAAGTCACATAAGTATAAATTTTTCATAAAAAGGTAACCGATTCTAAGTTCATGAAAATTATGTATAATGAAAAGGGAATTATATAATATTGCCAATGTATACTTACAAACTTCGTCAGCTTTTTCTCCGCGAACTACCGTTGAAATCATAATATTAAGCATATCGGAACAATTTGACAACAATCTCTGGCAATCACTTAAATTCTGTTGCAACTGCTGCTTCCGGCCCATCAATGTTAACACTTGATAGAACATTTTGGTAAATCGGATCCTCGCGTAAAGTGCAATTCCATCGTTATACTACAAGAAAATATTATCAATAAAGTCACAGTCATAGATAAATATAACAAAATAATAATCATACGTAAAAAGATAGATGTGAAAGTAATAAAGTAAGTATTAAAATTAAAGAATAAGACATATATCTTGAAATCTGAATCTAAACAAAATAAAAACTAAAAGTTACAAAGAGATTTATCTGAATCTATAAACAAAATAAAAACTAAAAGTTACAAAACTAAAAGTTACCTCCTTCTCAGATTCGACATCGACGAGTTTTATCCGACTTTTCCGATGAAGTTCCTCTTCAACTTCCCGCAACATCGATATCGTTTTTTGTTCTGTAATGTCTTGCTGTAATCTATAGCCATAGGTAACGCTCTGAAAATCCTCCTCTTCAAATACCAAAGCTTTATTAATGCAGTCCTTAATTATCTCTATTATCTTATAAACTGCATAACAGAAGGTCTTCAAAGGCTTATCTAGTATTTGCGCAGGCTGATGCAAATACAAGTTCGTGAATACGGTTTGCGCAAGACTATGTCCCTCCAACCAAGATACTATACACGCATATGTGGAGTCTATTATCCCTATAATTTCGGCGGGTGTAAAGTTGTCCAGTTTGATCGCGCCTGAATCGACCGCTTGGGTAAAAGTGCAAGGCTTGTTGTTCCCCCGATTGCACAACATGCCAGCATCCATTTTCGGATCCATCATCTCGATTGCAGACATGGCCTCAAATAACCCGAACAGCTCATCATGTAATAATTCTCCCAGTTCCAACTCTGAATGCAAAATGCAGAAATATATATTGGCGCGTCCCAAAAATAATAAATGTAAAATATTGTTACAATTAATATTAATTTAATATTATTTTTATTTTTAGAGATTAAAACAAGTTCATAATTCAATCTTGAAAATTTCTTATGTAATATAACAATTCTATTCTGATACATATTCTATGATACAGTGGTGTGCAATTTTTTATGCTCGTGACCCCTTTCCTCAGAAATTTGTCGCGATCCATTAATTTTTTTAACATTCATATAAATAAAAATAAGTTATATATAAGGATAATTATAATTTAAGAAATTAGTCGTTTTAATTTATGTAAAATTTAATAATTTTTTTACATTCTAGTACATGTAATTTTTATAAATGAAATTAAATTGTACATTAATACATATTAAAAGTAGAAAAAATTTTGCAATCTCCAGTAACTTTTATGCGACTCTTCAAGAGAATTATGCACCACTAATATATAGTATTCTATAATATATATATAGTATACATAAATATATTACTATCACATTATAAATTCGATACACGTTCCTCATAAACTTTACATGCAGGATATATTTTCTACTTATTTGCTTGGGCTTCTATTAATGCTATATTTATGTCAACATTTATGTGAAATAGATTTTGATAGGATTAAATCAGAAAACATAAACACAGAGAGGAAAGAGATTAACATAAAGCGAGGGAGCTTTTTTTTGTAATATTTATTATAATTTGCGATTAGATCTAACATATTTTTTAGAATTTACAAAATTAAGAAAAGCATATAAAGTATGCAAATATAATATTAAGATATCAGGCAGAAAAACACTAGGCAAAATGACATGATTTAGATTGACGATAAAGCAACGTTGATAAAAATCAAGACATTGTAACAATTCACAAAAAATTCAATGACTGTATGAAATACAAATATATATGTACATATGTTACAATTGAAATACGTTTTCTTCTCAAATGTTTTTTTATTTTTCTTGTCCTACATAGAAAAGATAAGAAAAGAAAAAAATAGTTAAAAATTAATATAATAACAAGATAGAATCACAATTTAAACGCTACGTTTACGATATAATAAATTGTTAAACAAATCTGGAAAATACTTAAATTTAAAGAGAGTAGCCTATTTAAAGAAAATATCTGTTTTTTCTTTCCACTTAAACCTTCTTTTTACTTCTGCTAATTTCTGTTTCCTTTTTCTCTATCTTATTTCAAACATGAAAAGCGTTTAGTATGTAAAAAAAACCGAAAATCAACAGAGGGGTTCGATTCTTGAAATCATTCGCAAGATAAATATATGTGCAGATTCTGCTCTTACAGAAAAGTTGCAAATTGGCTATCGCTTAATCAATCAACGTATAGATTGTTCGTAAAAACGGAATTTGCGTATATGTTTACCCTGCAAATGAATCAAGAATCAGGTCCCAGATCCAACGGGTCTGTTTTCTATCACTGAACTGGCAGTGCTAGTTCAAGAACTGTATATACATTGGGTCAGTTTTCTTTTGCTCAACTAGCTGTGCTAGTTCAAAGTTTGTCTCTTCTACTCCACATTGAGAGGAAAAGGATAAACTCTGAACTAATGTCAGTTCAGCAACAAAAAACTGACCCATTGTGTACATACACTAGCCATAAGAGTCTTTTACATACGTTTCTCACACTTCAATGTATATGTACATAAACTTCTCGAACTAGCAGCCAGTGTAGCAATAGAAAACAGGTCCCCAACGTTCATAAGACAAGGCCGCAGAGACGAAGAGAGCGCGCGGGACAGAGTGAACGATAGTCGAGTATATGACAAGATAACGATCGGTTTGGCAGTCAAGTACCTGTGATCGCCTCGAAGAACTCTTGAGTGATGTCCACCCAGTTATGCGCGACCTGGTCGAATCTACAAGACAAAAGCAGAAGGACGCAGTTAAAAAATACCGCCGTACGGTGTGCGAGCGGACACGGCGCGGTTAGGTTAAATCGTCATCGAGCGTCGCGACGCTGGCACGACGAACCGCCACGTCCATCGTTCGCCAGCGATCCGCGAACGTGGCTCTCCACCGCGATTCGTCCGCATCGAAACTTACGATAAATCTTTATCCTCGTTCATATCAATTGAATTCTGATCCTCCACCGCGGTCGCCATTATTGTGGACGATTTATATTCTGTCACCTCGTCGCAGATGTCTGATTGTACCACTCCGTTGCCAGTTGCGCCAAAAGTCCCTGAGAAACGCTAGCCTATCTCATGCGAGATTCCGCAAACGCCTGAAGTCGATCCCCATCTAGCGATAATGGAGGATTCACACCGCGTCCGGCGTTCGACCGATAAATCTTCCATAAAAGAGAGAAGAATGAGAGGCCGGCGATTTTCTTGGGACGCTTTTGCTAGGCCGTACAGTAGCGCCACACATCCACTATCAGGAATTAGAACTACGAGTCACATCCATTTTTCGATACTGTCGATGAATTTGGTTCATGTCCGTGCTATGTATACATCCATTTTTCGATATTGTCGGTCTTTCGTGTCCGAACTACCCAGCTGGAGGCGATATGGCCGCGGCGACACGCGCCGGCTATGCCACGATGCCACGCATTTCGGGTATCGTGTCTCGTGCCTCGCCTGCCAAGACTGGGACACTGAGAATTGAAAATTGATAATTGAGAATTGGGGATTGGAAATTGGGAATTAAGAATTGAGAATTGGGAATTGTGAATTGGGAATTGAATTCTCAATTCTCAATTCCCAATTCCCAATTTTCAATTCTCAATTTCCAATTCCCAATTCCCAATTTTCAATTCTCAATTCCCAATTTTCAATTCCCAATTCCCAATTCCCAATTTTCAATTCTTAATTCCCAATTCCCAATTTTCAATTCTCAATTCTCAATTCTCAATTCCCAATTGCCAATTTTCAATTCTCAATTCTCAATTCTCATAGAAAGAGATCCAGAGTGAGTTTAATCGGAGCATCGCGTTAATCGGAGACTGTGATGTCGGGCTTTATAATTAAGAGTGGGGTCGATTCTATCTTGGGACGAGGTGAAAATTACAAAAGTGAGGAAATTCACTAGAGAATCTACAATTTCATTTGTCGAAATCTAGTAAATCTGTTCACTTTTGTAATTTTAACCTCACGGATTGAGATTGGATTGAAATGTAATCAATCAGAATAAAGAAAACTAATTTCAAGTTTAGTGAACTTTGCTCTAATTGATCAAATTTCAATCTAATCTCAATCCCAATCCGTAGTCTGATCACGGCTTAATAGGAATAGACCCCTAGGTCTGAAAAGAAGAGCACATAACATACACATAGATTTATTTTCATATAATTTTTCTCAATTTTCATAAGCGTCATTTTATCAATACATATTCACTTAGAATCACAGTATACATAAGCACAGTGTTTGTTCGATGTGAAAATTAGGATTCGAATAGCTTAGATTGATAAATATATTCTAATTCAAAGATAAAGATTAACAGATAAAGAGAAGGACGTTAAACAAAATAATTGTGATTTGTAGATAACCATTGAGAAATTAAAAAACGAATTACTTCATTGTTTTCAAAGAACAAACACAAATTGAATAACTCATATTTATAATTGAAATTAAAAAACATGAATATAAAAAAATGTTAGACTAGACTAGAGTCCCTTTATAAAGGGACTCTATACTAGAGTAGTTATTTACAATAATTTTTTAGCGCTCTCAGCTTCTTCGTTGAGTTGTATTTCCAGCGCATTGGCTTCTACGCAACTTTCCTCCGCCACTTCCTCCGCAGCAAACCTCACTTCTTGCTCATATTTTTTAAATGTTTTAAAATCTGGATACGGAATGTTCATACATGTTAGTAATTTTTTGAAGCGTGTCCATCCTAAACCAGAATGTAAGATACCTGCCAAGGGGCGAACAATTCAATATACAATGTACACAAATGGTAAATAGTAATTATAAGATCAATAACAATAGAATAATAATCTATCGTAAAGTATTACCTAATGCTGCTTGCGAATTAATGTCGAAGTGAACTCTACGTTTGTCGACGGTACGTCGTTGGGTGTTTGTGCAAACTTCATTCACGACTTGGCACTTGTGACACAGCACTAGAAATAGAGAAGCCAAGCCTCTTCGCCCCTCACTCTGTATGTTCTGTAAAGAAAGGACCTCGCCACAAGAACAACACCACAACTGCTGTCCCAGAACGTTCAAATCGACAATGCGTCGTCCATCGATGACATTTGTTTGCTGTTCCATATCGTCCACAGTTTCGTTGGTTACGGGATCACCTTCCTCAGGTTTACTCGAAACTTTTCTTCGCATTTGTCCAGCTTTTCGTTGAGCGAGTCTTTTTTCATAAACTGCTTTTGTAACTAGTTTGCCTTTCCACCGATAACTTTGCGTTTTTGGCATTGTAAACCATCGAGATAACCTCGCACGGCTCGCACCAAGTCTCGCGCTGTTTTGATACCTCCGCAAGGCTGCTTACAGCCTTGTGTACACGGTTTAAGCCAATCAACTTGCAGCTCTTACAGAAAAGCAGCAGTTTCATTGGCTTAAACCGAGACGAAACTCGTGATCGTGATCGCGATTGTGTAAATCAAACCATACATTGCAGTGTTGTCACGTCTATTAGGGCTTTAATGTACGTGTACTGAAGTAAGATGCGACATTCCTTTATTCCTTTATCTTATTCCTTATTTTTCTCATTGTGACTGAGCCCTTATCGCATAACAATGGCCGCATTCAGCAGACACAACTGTTGAGTTCGTCTTATCAACACTCTGCGTTGATTGGTTGGTTCTAAAAGTAAGAGCCAATCACGTTCGACTGCTACTCAGCGGCTTGGTCTGCTGAACGCGCCCAATGTTTTAAATTTATATAATGGCCTAGTTTACACCGATCACTTGATACGCGTATTAAATAGTAAATAACTAGTAAATAAGTCTGATTATTGGCTGATCAGTTCAAATATACTATATGATACGCGTATCAAAAGATCGGTGTAAACTAGGCCAGTAAGTTAAATAATATTCAAATTATCGTGTTCACATGATACCTACTTATCTTTTTTGACATTATTGAAGTTACATTTGTTTATTAGCGCTGCTGAATAATGTTTTTAGTTTTTGGAAAAATTGACGTTATAAAGTTGAAATCAGGGCATTTTCACTGTCAAAAGTTTAAAGGTATATACGTGATACATCCTTAAAGTTTATCTTTAGATTCTCCGTAGCCAATGAAACGAGTCGTTCAACATCTAAAGATAAACTTAAGACAAACTTAAACTTAAATATAAATAAGATCTGACTATATGAATACTAAAGTTAATCAAAAAGTTTAATCGAGGTCGATCTGAAGCTTGCGGCGCATCTTTCTCGCGTTGGCATCTTGCCGACCGACGATCAATCGTTAGAAACTTCACGTTTGTCACTAGAAATCCTAATCGCGCGAATAATCCCGCGGTCGCGCGTTGCTTTTCGTCCTTGAAACGAAACGCGGCCTCCGGAGTAATCGGAGTTCGGAGTCGCTCGTCCACATTCGTCGTACATACACCCGGAGCTCGCTCGACGGTGGTAAGACGAGGGGGCAGGGGGGGGTAAAGCAGAACGGGACCCGGACGGAGCATCTGGGGGAATCTGGCGCCTGGCGCGGCGGCCGTGGCGCGGTGCGCGGTAGCGGTGGGTAACGGGTAACGGCGGCGGTAGTGCGTGATACGTTCTCGTATCGGTCGGAGTCGTTCGTCATTTCGCGGCGTTGAAAAACAGTGTATCGTAGTATACGTCGCGGTGTGTGCGTCGCGTCGAGACTCGAGTGTCGTTTTCCGTCTCGTCGGCATCGCCGCCGTGGGAGAGGGACGAGGAGAAACACAGTGCGGTCCGTCGCGTCGTAAATCGTCCGCGATCGCCCCGAGAACTGTTCGAAGCCGGTGTTGTTACGTAGTACCTCAGCGCGGACCTTATTGCGCGCCTCGCCTCGCCTCGCCTAGTTTCTCCTCCCGTCTCGTCTCGTCTTTCGTTTCGTCGGCCCGTCCGTCCGTCCGCCGTTGCGTCGCCGTCGTCTCGCCGAAACGCGTAAAAGTGCATGCTACCGTAGGTTGACAGCGGGATCTGCGCGCCTCACGGCACACGGCGGAGGATGTTGGATCGCGACACGGCGATACATCTCGTCGCCGGAGGGTGGGTATTATTTTCGACCAGCACGCGCGCGCGCGCGCGCGCGCTGTATGTATATGTTATGTATATGTACGGTACATATGTGTTTCGGGCCCGGCCCGGCCCGGTTCTGCGTTGTGCGTCACGCCAGTCTTGGCAGGTCCTCGGTTCGATCTTTCCTCTGCGGCACGTTCGATTTATTATTATATTACTTATTATTATTGTTATTATTATGTTACGCGATCCCGATGGAGTTCGGGGACGATTAACCGCCCTTCCAAGTCGCGATCGGCCTCAAAACCGGAGACCGCCTTTCCCGAGAGGTCGTCTTTAATCGGGAGCGCAGCTCACGTGTACACAGGGTGCCCCGAAAAAACCTACCGCGCGTATTTTACACTTGCGACCGTATTTTTCTTTTTAAGGAGGTTTTTAACTCGGTTTTCCTGACGTTATCGATTTTTCTCTTCGAGAATAAGTATCTGACGACCGATAACTCTCCGGGTGTCACTGAAGATTATAGGATTCTTTCACACTTCAGTCTAATCTCTAACGTGTAACTGCATAGGGTGAAGTCACTGAAACATTCTTAGTTTTGCATCAGGATTGCGTCATTCGCGAAAAGGGGACGACTCCCGTCATTTCTGCGTAATTTAGTTAGCACCGTTAGATTTCTTTGCCCTTCCATATTTTATTGGCATTGTATAAAAAGAAAGTCAGACATACACTGATGACTAAAGATTAAATTTAATTCAATTTAATAGCAAACAAATTTTACGAAGATATTTTTTACTTGCGTACACATGTATAAAAGTTAGGAAGGTGTATTGCTAAGTTCTCAAAAGTACTTTCAGATTTAAAAGCACTTTTGTATTTCTATATGTCAAATAAATATATAAAATAATGTTCCTGATAGTGAAATTGTAAGAAGTAAACAAAACTGTATTTCTCAAAAAGTTTATTTGTGCCAACTTTGTTTGTGGAAAGTTTTCGTAACAACTCGTTTATAAATAATAAGAGAAAACACTCGTTTATATTTTTTTCGAGTGTAGACACTTTGATCGATTTACAATCTGACGATAATTACAAAAAAAAGTTTAACATTTAACGTTAAAAATTTTTTTTATTAAATCTCGCTTTTATTTTCGCGAAAGAAAAGTAAACCACAATTTAATCAAAGAAACCAAGATTGGAACGTCCATGAAAGAACTGAATTCTTATTGATTAAAATTTTAAATTGAACACAGGAATTTTCAGCTTTTCTACCCATTCAAAAATTTGCATAAGGATCCCGGATTAAAATTTAAAAAGCACGGTGTGGAAAAGCAAAGACACTTCCCTTGAGTCTACATCGCGTAGTTTAACGAATATAAGTACCTACAACCTACAAGTGTAAATACAAGCAGGCATCTTCATAATATAAGCGCGAAAACGAGATAAACCGATATCACCGATTATAAACGTATTAGTCCCAGTCTACAATGGGTGTTTTAAGCCCTAAGAAATTGACCAATCACAGTCAATTATTCTCCTCAAATTCAACTGTGATTGAACAATTTCTTAAAGCTTAGGGCTTAAAACACCTATTGTAGACCGGGACTTATCATTAGTGCGATAAATCAACTCGTCTCTTCTCGGCGCTTGAAACAGTTATTGAAATGTATGTTATTGAGACGCTTCAATTTACATTTTTTTTATTTTAATCAGCGTGAAACAAAATAAACCTCCATCTTACGTAAATACTTCGGAATCTTCGTCGCAAGTTACAAATAATTATCAGTGAATACGGCAATAACACACGTATATGAAGGCCTGTTGCTGCGAGTGTCTGATGATCGTTATTCTTGTCGAGACGATTTTATTGAAGCGACGGGACGACGCGCACGTGGTCAACTGCGACGAAATTGTCGGGCAATTATCTTTAGCTTAATTAACGAGCTACATTCGATTGCACGCATGTCGTTTACGCAATCCGCGGTTTTTCTAGATCATGTATTTATATCATGTAGAAAATCCAACTTATATGGTGAAGATTTCTTTCGTTTCTAACAATTATTAAATTAAATAATGCTAATCTCTGTACATACGTCAGGTTCTTATCGACGTAGTAATTTATTTATTATCTCTGCTTTTTAGAATAATCGCACGATGTGCGCGATAAAAAGAGGTGCATACGTAAAGCCTGAGGCTGCACATTACTGATAACCTCAACTGATTGTAATTTAACGATTGTTGGCCTTTCCAGTTGTCGATAGATAAGACTGGTTTCTCGCCAATATCGTTTAACCCCAATCGGCCAAATCTGCTTTCTCTCTCTTTCTATCTCTTTGTTTATTTTATGTAATATCAGTATACTGTAGACTTTATAGAGAGATGTTGAATCAATATGATAACCGAGCAAACACAGAATATAATGCAGGAGAGACACGTAATAATTTTTTAATATGATGTTACATTTAATTAATTTATTAATGGTTAATAATGGATAAAGGGATTTTAATTGATTTTTGTTCATGATTATGCTACTCTAAATACAATCCTTAGCATAAGTGATTTTCATTAATTCATACTTTTAATTTCGTCGTTTTGTACGTTGAATCAATAGCTACGACAAACAAAGAATAATGGTAATAAACAATAAACGGAATATTACTAATTAAATTACTTAATAATAACGAATGAAAAGTAGACTGAACAAGATTATTCGCAGTAAATTAATTAATGTTGATCATTTGCACCCAGATCTATATTTTGACGTATTTGTATTGTAATAATATATATTCCAGTATATATATTATATATAGTAACATACATATAATAGTATATACATTCTTGTTCGTGTTATTGTTTACACCTAACGCATTTCGTAAACGATGCCAGATTAGTCGTCGGGTGAGCCCGCAACTGGCCTTCCCAATGCCGAAATACAAGACTGCTAGATCGCGTGTCAGGTCGCTCGGAAAAGGAATTCGACGACGTAGTTATGTTAAACGTGTTGGGCGTCACGTATTTACGTTTCCTACCTGTCCCTGTTTCTGTCCCTGCGCGGAGCACACGTGTCCACGCGCACGTAGACACATTTCTGCAAGCTTTCCTATTTCTACGGTGTCCTCCAAGCGGCTATAACGATCATCCGCAATCGAATCTTCGATCAGGGAATATCGACTCGAAATAATCCAGAGCAGTCATGCCTTGAAACATATATGACAAAATGGGCTTAGATTGCGTCATACGTGTATAGCTTTACGCCCAGGAGGGGAAAAAGGGATCATATTTTATGACACGACACGTACGATAGGATCATGTAGGATTAGGATACAGGATTCGGTGCGCTTAAGAAAGTAATTACAAAACTCGCGAACTGTTTTCTACAATTTAAGAGTCTACTTTTATTGCGGCACAAGGTTGTGTTTGTTAGTAGAATTCTATCCGATTAGTTTACGTCATCTTGAAAGACCGTAAGCACCCTAAACCATAGAATCGAGATTCGTAATTTTACGCTGGTACAGATCCAACGAGGAATCATCAAGCTTTTGACTTTCGACGCTAAATATCTTGATATCTTCAAACTTAAATTAAACTTCCAGTTAGATTTAGTCCAAAGTTATAATTCATGAAGGATCGAGTTTCGTCCTTCGCTCCACATATTCTCAAGATTTATATCACTGAAATTTATAATTTTCTGTAAAACTACTAAGTTTTTAAATTTTTATGATTCAGAAACTAAGAATTTAATTTCTGATACCTGTTATTAATAATTCTATAAATAATGTTATGGCGTGTTGTTTCTAAACCGGCATATCGATCTTACGATATCGAATCAAGTTTCCTCTTTTTTTATTCAGAAGTAGATCAATTGAAAGGTCAAGTAAGTAAACTTATGTATTACCAGGGACTAGCATTTCTCGATTGTCAACAGAGAATAGCTAAACGATTTATTTGCCGCAAAATACTACGCGTTGGAAATTCCACTCTACGTTTACGCGAGCGTTACTTCTATAGTAACTTTCAATAATTCACTCGTTTACGCGGAGTGAACATAGTAACTGACAATGAAACTTCGTAAGTCTACACTCTTTATATTAATAGTCAGAAACTATAGATAATAGCCGTAATGAATTGGAAGCTCTTGTTTCATTTGCCATAAATTGATAATGGTGTTACAGTTAAGGACTAATTGTAAGCTCAGAAAACTTCCTTATTGATTGAATTAACGGAACAAGCTTTTATTATATTCATCATATTGCAAGTTTTATATTTTTATGGAAAGAATTATGTTGCAAATGTCAACTAAAGGAGAACTGGCACTGGCGGTTATGGAAATATATCCGTTTCAATTTATTATTCCATTATACTTGCTCTCTAAATCTGAATCAGTGAATAGTCACTGATATCAGTGTAAAGTATGACTTTTCATGAATCGGTGGCATACTTTACACTGATATCAGTGACTATTCACTAATTCACAGTAGGTACTATTCACTGATTCAGATTTAGAGAGTGAATTTTTAAATAAATATATACAAAACAAAATAAGCATCGCAAAAATAAATGTTTTGCTAATTTCTTTTAATCACTGGACTTTTCGCATTTCTCTACTTGAAAGAGATTGAAACAATTTCTTGCATACAAATGGGGTAAAAGTATTTCAAAGAAATATGTTGCTATATACATATCGCTATTGAAATTTGATATTCGAATTAGCAGAGTTAGCATGCAAATTTTCGATTAGCCAGAACATAGATGCGCACCTTTTCAGCACGGAAAGATACGCGGATTTATTACGCGCGACATGTGAATCGGACGCTAATTTACTGTCACATTCCATTGGACTTGATAAAAGGTCGCGACTATGCAATAGCGACTTTGAGAGCGAATTAGGCTAGTTAGGGGATCCTCGAGGATCAAAAGTATTTTTCTCTATTGAATGAAAGTTATATGCCCATGAGGTATATATATAATTTGTTTAGAAGGCTTTAAATTTATTACAAGATGTTGTATTTTTTTTTAGCCTTATACATATACAATATGCTTTGATCAATTTCATCGTAGTATTTTTCCAATGAAAATTACACATTATTCCTTTTCAAATTTTTGCTGTTGAGTATTTTCTTTTATCTGAGGACGAGCGTGGCCTATAGTAGACAGCGCACTGATCTATTGAGCCGAAGTCCCGGATTCGATCCCCGATAGAGCTAAAAAAATTATATTCGCTCGTTCTTTTCTCGGAAGGCAATGGCAAACCACCGAGAGTATTCTTGCCATGAACACTTCTCTAAAAAGAATATAGCCGTTCGGAATCGGCGTTAAACTGTAAGTCTCATATACAATGTATACAATCTACGTGCGCAACACATGTATATGAAGAGAAGTCATAACACGTTGCAACGGTGAATACTTCACTAACTCTGCTAATTATTTTACGACGCGACCAGAGGTGACTACGATAAGTCTAATTGGAAAGATTCGCGACATCGTGTCAGTGAAGTTCTGCGTGAGAGTTGGCGCCAAATAAATATTGATATTTCTGCTTTGTACGAATCACGCGATATTTCTCATGCTTTTACCGTTATCTTAACAATTATTTATAGTTTTTATCTCGCTATAATTTCTATTCAGATAAGATAAGTTGAAAATTAAATTACACCTGCAGCGAACATTTTTCTTCTCTCGAGGTACACATTTTGTTCTGTGTTTGTAAACATTATAAATTATAATTATAATCAGAACTTTATTATAATTATCGCGTCGTAAAATTTAATTATGCAGACAGTTGTAACCTGCGTAATGAACGTTCTTTATATTTTCTGGGAGAAAATAACGACTTCTTTTTCTCCTTCAATTCTACACAAACTTTAACAAAATTAAACAGATAAAGTTGATAGAAAACATAACTGTATATATCTACACATTTACAAATATATATAGTATACGTTTATTATTGATCAAATATACATAAATACACAAGATTTAATTTTAAACCTTATACAATATCGTGTACAGTTGGGGACAGAAAGGTTGTCCGGTTGAGTTCTAGAATCTCCCATTTGGAAGTGGATGAGCACTAATGCACATAGCTTGTGCAGTGATTCATCATAAGAGCAGACAAACAAGGTGTCAAATATATTAAAATGTTGAAAGAATTAATTGGTAATTGCTGACGTGGTAGCTGGATATTAAATATAAATAGGATGCGTTTCGAAACTCCACCGGACAACCTTCTGTCCCCAACTGTACAGTTATGATAGCAAAATAGCGGTATCTTTATGGATATAAGAAATTGGCAATCATGATCGCAAATAGATAGCAACTGACGAGATTGTTATAAAGCTTACGCTAATCCCCACTAATCTCTCTTTTTTTATTTTGCACAGAGTGGCTGGCACGGCAGGAGCAATAGTAACTTGTCCGCTGGAAGTGGTAAAGACCCGACTGCAGTCGTCGTCTTCCGGCTTTAATCCGCCGGTGAGCAAAGAATTCACATCTGGTCATCCGACATGCAAGGGTTCACCGACGCCCGAACAACGCCGGAGGCTATGCACTGGATATCCCAGGTAAATTAATCGAAGAAAATCAATTCTCGATTAAGCTGATGTTGATTTGGTATTGTATGCGACGCGACAGTTCATTATAATTTGTCCAGCTCTACAAGTTGTTGTTTTACGACAAGCGTAATTATTTGTAATATAAATTTGCAATTTATTTCAAGGTTTTTTGTTATTAGCTAAAAACTCTTATCTGATATGTGGTATGCACGCGAGAGCGAACTATTAAAATTCTTGAGAGACTACACAGAACTCCGAAAAAAATGTTAAAAGTCAGCGGAAATTTTTCTCATCTTCGTGAAACTTCGGGAGACTTGACAATTTTTCGATAAATAAAACCTCGTCGAGACGCTTTGATTTTTTTTTTTATTTTGTCCGATTCGAGTGTTAAGAATAAATCGTTACAGGAGCTATCCGTAATTCTGAAGGATCTTTGCGAGAGATTTTTCACCCAGCTTGGAAAATTTCCACTCGAGGATTGAAAAATCGCCAGAAGATGTTCAGTCTTTATTTTTATCGTTTCGAATATCAATGTGAAGTTGCAAGTATAATATTCTCTTTGAATCTCGGAAACTTGACAACTCTTTCAATAATATCAAAACTCTAAAAATATAAAACGTTAACTTCAGATGTAATGTTTTGCCATATGTATATTAGGCTTGATCGTATACGAATATACAAAAGTTGAATTTGATCGAGCGGCGTGCGTACCCGCCGGGAAAAAAGAATCGTGTTTCTAAACGTAGCTCTCGGTCTCTTTCACCTCCAGGTATTCCAGTCACTTCGTAGCTCTCTCGCATTTCGGTGTCTCGACCTCACCCCCGGACTCCTCCCGGCACGCGCCGGGTATCTATCAGTGCTTAAGGTACATCATCAAGAATGAGGGTGCACGAGGATTGTTCAAAGGCCTTGGTCCAAATCTCATTGGCGTGGCACCTTCCAGAGCTATCTACTTTTGCGCGTACTCCAAGAGCAAAGTCGCGTTTAACGCGATTCTACCTCCCGATACTCCGATCGTTCACGTCTTCTCCGCGTCCTGCGCTGGTAAGACCACGCTATTCCAATATTATTATACTAAATATGTATGCCGCGGTATATATTAAAATCCTTGTCTATAAGGTTTAGTTTTGCGTTCCCTAAACGAATAATCGGTCTTAATAATAATTTTGATTCTGGGATGTATATAGGCGAGAATTAGCTAAGCCAATCGTTTTATTTTTTGACAATATAATTTTTATGATTTTTTAATACTTTATACTACAATTAGACTGCAATTATAATATTTTTTATATTAAATTTAATAATTTATAAAATACGAACTATATGTTTTTTACACTATAGCATTTGAGATTTAAATGTCATTCTTTGCGCTATGTTATCCTTCTATCTATTCGATTTTAATCTCTTCTACTCTATTCTTTGTTTATGTTAATTATTCGTACATTTTCTGCATTCTGTTTTGATCAAAATCGTCTCATTTAAATATAATCATGAAATGCAATCTGGCTTTCTTTTTTGAAAATCAGTGACAACGTATATCGACTAATGGTGAATATAAGATGAGTCACAGTATTAACATATCGCGCGATAATGTTATATAACGATTATTATTGAGCGCACATATTTATCCATAGATCGATATAGGTATGTCAGTTCAATACAATATTGTTACATTATGATCGTTAACACATGTAAAATTAATCTTTCCGTGTTGTCTACTTTGAACCCATTCGCGTTTTCGTCTATGAAACGATCGTAGAGTGTTTGCGCTTATTACGCATTTACTCCACTGAAAATTACACTACGCTACGTATATAAGTATCGCCGCTCTATATCTCTCGCAGCTATTTTTCATTGATTAACTACTATTTTAGTATCCATGCTATGGAGATAAACTATTTCTTTATGCCATCATGACCTAATATCCGCTAAGACTTGATAATTAAAATAATATAATTAGAATAAATCTTTAAAAACCTGAAAAAATGTGATATAAATAGCTTTTCGATATCAAGTCGCAATGTGATTTTATATTTCTGCCGCAGATTTGGAGAAAATTAATTGTTGAAGGAAACACGATTTGAAACTTATCAGATGAATGCTTAAAATACTGAATCTCTAGGATTGTCTTGCGATAAAGTTTGATCTCTGCATTAGATTACTTTTATTTCTCATACATTGTATACTATCTCATAACAATACTATCTCTTCTCACGATTTATATTCTATCGCGAGAAACGTAACGTGCTGACCTTGATGATAAAAAAAATGAGCAAAAGACTAAAAAGAGTTGTAAGCCAGATCCGTTCGCGCGAATATTGCGCCGTCTCCGTTATTATGTTTCCCTCGACAAATCCAATCATCGAAGCGGCGATAAACGCGCGATTAACGATGGGGGGAAAAGTATTCTGCGCGTCATTCATGCGTTTATCTTTAATGGATATATCGGAGCGCGGACATCGCGTCTGACGCCGCAGCTCGAACTCCCTGCTTGATGTCGATAACCTACGAGGACACTCGGTAGATACCTGCTGGTACGATTATACGCGCGCTTTACTCTCACTCTTCTTTATTCTTCGCTCATTCCCATCAAATGTCCTCGAAATAGATGATGGTCAACGCGGATAATGTTTTTTATGTATAATAAAGACCATTAAATTCCTTCTAATATTAGCAAGTCATTAATAATATGACAGATCATCTTCTGTTGAAGATAAAACAGTTGCTAAAGAAAGGATTGAGTTTTATAAATTAAGTTTTAACTATACGTCTAAACTCTATCTTCGCAAATTAAAATATTACATTTCCTTTCTAGTAATATATATAAATAAATAATTGCCAAGTAATTTATATATCTAATTGGAAGTTATGATTTTAATCGCTAAAACACAATGAAATATTTGACAGCTAAACGTTTTAAGCAAAATTTTTTCGAATAGGTAGCATCAAAGATTTTTTACATTTTCTTTAAGAGACAATTTTTATAATTGTTCCAAATATAATTCTGTTTATGATATATTGGTATAATCATAAAGAGTAAAGCATTTATACACTAAAAGATTCAGTTAACTATTATTTAGATAAATTCTTCTAATGTTTAACGATTGGTTTCACTCTGCTTTAATTGTTTCGTGAGCTCAGTGTTTCGTATATCGTTCGCATACGCTGAATTGTTATGCAACGAACGTAGCTTGAAAGAAACAGGAAATAAAACGATCGCGATGGAAAATTGAACCTAACAATCTTATATTATACATATTTATTATCTCATTTTGCTTCTCTCTCTCGAGATTACCGCCCGAAATAGCCGGCTCTCTCACAGAATGAGGGTATTGCATAACACGGCAATGCACTTTCCGATACGAACTTCCTCCTTCCATTTACCTACGTAATACGAATGGTTTGCGCTCGTTCAGAGACACCCGATAAACTATGGTCAATAAGACCATTTCGCGGACAATAAAGAGTTTATCATTCAGAATGCTGAACTTCGACCTGAACACGATCCGCTTATTGCAGATCTGTTCGCAGGGGAGCCACGCGATTGGCGCGTGTGATGCCTCTTCTTCTCCGCGATACGATTGTTTATCATTTGCGCCGCTTCTGCGTAGGTACAGACTGCTCAAGAATTTTTTAATCGCAGATTTTTTCACTCGTTCAGACTCGAGTTTAGTAGAAATTTGAACGTTATTCTCAAGACTTCTCCATTCTCGATATCACATATTTATAATCGATATCACATGGTTATAATGATAATTATACACATTATAATTTATTTATTATATAGGATATTTCAAAAAAAAATTATATTGAAAATAAATTGTTATACAGGATAAATAGATAAAAATTCTCATTATATAAATGTTTTAAAAACAAAAAATTTATTACATTTTGATTTTATAGATACGAAAGTTTACATGGTTGTGTCTAAATTTTGCTCCAAGCATGATTAAATCAAAATTTCCATTTTTAAATGCTTGTAATACAAAATCTAAATCTCGATGATTTGTAGAAATCCAAATCCGGTCCAAGGTTAACTTGGTAATAGCACTTGATATTTTTCCGATATTACCGTTATCATTTGTATGAATCACTTATATTCTTATATTATAGTTTCTCAAATAAAAAAAAAAAAGGAATTCCACTCTATTTTGCGACGGCGATATCGCCTGCTGCAGTAACTTCAACGTTCTCAATTCTTTTATTTCTATTCGCATTGCATCCAACGTTGATCGACAATCAACGATAACGACTGTTTGCTCTAGGATAGGATCTAATCTCTAGCACAATTACCGTCATTGACGGTCGAGTGTTATATTTGTATTATTCACATCTCGCATCTGCAACGAGAATATGGATTATGTCGACGAATCCGCGAAGAACAATCCATACGTACATTTACACACAGATAAGATATATTACACTAATATTACATAATTCTGTGCTAGCATATGTTTCCCGGTCAACTTTAACGGAGGGCTCGTAATAGCTCCTATCACTGTTTACCTTTAATAACTCGCAGTGGATTTCCAATCATTTTTCCTTTATTGGCTCTGAATTGTTCGCAAAATAAACCGAGGTGGAAAAAAACCTGGATAGACTGATATGTTTCGAGGACTGAGAGAGAGAGAGAGAGAGGGAGGGAGGGAGAGGGAGAGAGAGAGAGAGAGAGAGAGAGAGAGAGAGAGAGAGAGAGAGAGAACTAATGAGAGATAATATGTACAAGTCATTAAAAAATATAATCTATTTAGCAGCGTCTTTTTTTATGCAAAACGAAGAAATTTTTTTGTTACGTATTATATGTTATTATTAATAATTTAAAAGGTACACTTATTAAAGTTTAACCTAATTTGAATACATACAATTTTAATAGTAACTGTTACTCTATGACTATATTAAATCTTTATTTATAGGCAACGTATATAATATACGATCGAATCAAATATGAAAAATTGATACGTATCATTAAGCTAATAGAAATTTTGTTATTTCTTTAATTATACGAACATTCTTGCATTGCGTTAATATTTGTGTACGTATGAGTACTCCGCATATTATTTTTCCAATTAAAGATATAAATTGTAATAAAATTTGACAAATGTGTTTAACGGGAAGTCGGAAGAAAAATCTGCATATCTTCTTTTTTATTTTTTTACACTTTCTTTACTTACTTTTTTCTGAGACGCTTTTGCAGATTTGCTTCGACAAAACCTTTTGCTAGAACAATGCATTTGCAGAATTTGCAGTAATCTTTTTTAGCGCAACATGCATTTACCGGCGCCGAGATGTTATTTCGATCTGTTTACTTGCTTCCATCATCATTCACGGATGCGCTATTCAGCGATTCGTCATCAACATAAGAATATTTACACACGCGAACAATGCAATTGTTATTCGTACATGTTTAACCGGAAATTTGCGTAAACAAATGATGAAAACTGCCTTCGAACGGTTACGCATTTAGTTGACATTTTACTTAAAATTGGTTTCTCTTTGACAATACTTTATTTCAAGAATATTGTTGTATACATACTTATACATATCATATTTATTATCTGTTAATATTGTTCAAAATAATATTGGCGTTTAATTTTAGGAAGCAAGGTCTTACATATTAAAACACTGACATTTTAAAATTAAGATACCAGAGATGACGGTTTAGGACTTCGGAATTTTGAAAAAGTATACTTGTTTTTATACTGATGAAATGGTTGCAACCGAAAAACTTCAATGTCGGAGAGAGAGATAAATAACGTAAAGTCAAATAGTGAAATCCGTGGGTACAATTTTATACTTAAAATACGTCTAAATATCTACTTATTTATTGTTACACCCAACCTTGAATTGTTTTTCGGATTTAGGCCCAGTTTCACAAGTGTCGGTTAACTTTTAACCTTAGATTAACTCACTCTTCGTCTCCTTCTAACATCCTCTTTAGAAAGAGACGAAGAGCGAGTTAATCTAAGGTTAAAAGTTAACCGACACTTGTAAAACTGGGCCTTAGGAAGTCACGGCAGGTGCGCGTATCCGACGACCTTTCTTCTTTCTCTTTGACTTCCCTTCTTCGTCTTTCCCTTTTCCTCTCCTTTTCTCCTCTCTCTCCTCCCTTCTGTCGCGTCGCTTCGCCGGTCGCCGGCGAGCGAGAGTGCCTCTCCGACAGTGTACGTCTATTTTTAGACGTCCTCACCACGTAATTCAATGCCCGCCTTCCACGCGTCTTGCGGTCGTACGTGATCGTACGAACGTAAGCGGCATGGCAGTAGCTCTATCATCGAAGAATCATACGCCGCGCCGACCGCAACGGTGCGACCGAAATTGCGTCATAATTGAAGATAATGTGCTACATCAGTAGCACGGAGAGGAAAGAGGCAGACTCGCTCTGTGCATCGTTTTCGAAAAGCCGTTAATGATCATAAATAGTGCCATTTGTGTGTCGCATCTTGGACACGATATCGCGTTTTGTTTACGTACTATAATCTTACACTCTAAGATTTTAGATATTTGCTGCAAATCTTGCTTAGATAAGTTTGTTAGATAAGATTGTTTCTAGATGTTTAATACTGCAAATTTCAAAAATTTTCAGAAGTTTAGGAGTCCAAGAATTGATTTTTTAATCAGAATTTATTATTTCTAATTTATTTATAGTTCAATCTTCTATTTTCATGTCTGCAGATACATTTAACCATCAAATTTTCCAAACTTTTTTCATTATTTTTTTTTCTCTGAGAAATATATTAAGATCTTAATAACAATAAATTATAACTATCTTTTTGCAAACTCTTCTCTAAAATAAGAGTTTATCTTTTTTCGCTTTTGCAAAAAACTCAACTCTCATTTGTCTCTCCATAAAGTAACATCATTATTTCGGTCGTTATTGTTATATGTATCGTTTTAAAATAAAGTCAAGGGAAGAATTTATTTTTTAATTTTTTTTCAAATATTACGTCGCGTAATATTACTTACTTCGCGCAATCATAATTTTTGTGCCGCATTTGGCCTCAAATGCTTTTTGGATTTTCGTATTATCTTAATATTTTTGTTTAATATATTTTAATATTTTAATATATATGCTGTTAATATATTGTAGCGATTAAAATTTATATATATTATACTTTGATGATATACGCAAAGCATGAAATTGCAACAGAATTTTGCATGCAACGGTTGCATTTATTTCTAAATGCATTGATAATTAGCAATCGGTTTTTCCATACCGATAAATTTTTCTTTGATCTTCTCTTTAATGGTCGCTTTTGAATCTTACTAATAAATGATTAATTAACTAAAGATTCTCGATATTAAAATTAACAAGTAATAAGGAAAAAGAGGTTTTGAGAGTCAGACGTTATCAGTTGTGCGTGAATTAATGTTATGTAACATTTAATTAATAATTTAATACAAATTATAAATCGCCTTTCGGCTTTATTTTGAGCTATTTTCAGCGACGCGGTGATAGATAAATTAAATTAATCTTTAAGCTCCGACGAGCATTAGAATACGGAACTGAGAGTTTCCGATGTCTTTTTCAAGACTTCAGTTTGTCAATCTCACGTTCTCCGGACTTAATTTAGTGAATTTAATTTTCCTTTACCGGTTAGTTTTCCATTTTCAGAACATTTTGCAGGCTATAAATATTAACAGAATTTTCCTCTGATATTTTCTCTTGAAAATTACACTGTCTTTGTACATTTAATTTTTAAATATCTTATTCTCGTCAGAGAGTTTGAGATTATTTAATTTATTTATCACCACGTCGCGTAGAAGATGACTCGAAGTAGAGCTGAAATATACGGTTTATAATTTATATAAAATTATTCATTAAATGTCACATAACGTTAACTCGCGCATAATTAACCGCGTTTGACTCTTAAAACCCACTTTTCCTTGTTGTTTGTCTGATATTTTTGTCACGCGCGAAAGAGACTCTGTCTCTTCGGATTTACGTGAGAAATTTACGCGAGATTGCGTAATCACGATAACATAATCGATCTTCTGATGCGTTATCAAATTTTCGTTCCTCTTACAATTAAACCGGTTTCCAAACTCGTCGAATCTCTCAAATTCCGCATCGAGTGGAATTTCAGGTAACGCAAAAAGTAAATAATACATAAACAAGTCACCGCGCTGCTATAAATTGCGCGTTAAACGACGCGTAGTACTCGCGGTTGCATAACCTTCGTGCATTATCTACAATGTGCTCGGTATATACCTAGCTACTGTATCATAAGTGGTACAATGCCCTTGCGATCTTCCGCAAGCCGGGTCAATGGGAATAATATAAATTTTACATATTATAAAATATTCAAATATATAAACGCTGTTATTCTACGCATATAAGAGAAAATTAAGATTACTTTTTATCAAGACTGTACTAAGTTTCTTAGATCTTAATGAGGATTTTAATATGCTATAGGCGGAAAATTAAAATTGTTTACATATCGTCTGATATGTCAAAGGTGGTTTCAGCATGCTGATAAGAAATTAAAATTAGGAAAACTTATATCCCATTACTCTTCAATTCGGAGGATTGCTTTTATTATTCGGAACATCATAGATCTTTAAGTTTTATGATATGCATTTCCTGTAGATAGTTAACCCATTAAGTTCTACTCGGCAATAGGGTGGGATATCTGAAAAGAAAAAGATATCTTAATGCTCGAAAGTGGAGGACTAGATTTTCGGAAAGAGCAATTCTTTTTACCCCTAATTACCAATTGCGATCAGGATCGAGTTGTAAAGATTTAAAACAAAAAAGCGCAACAAAATAGGGGCCTCTTAGGATTTAATGGATTAATGAAGTAGATTTATTTTTTACGAAATCTCTCTCGAGCAGTAATATTTGAGATAAATTGCCGTTCTCTCTCCAAACGGGTTGACGGTAACGTAAAAAATATAAGGAAAAGTAGTGCACGTAACGATCCATTCACGAAACACCGTACGCCGTGCGGATTCAATAAACGGTCGTTCACTTTTACAGGTTTCACCGCGTGTACATTGACAAATCCGATTTGGTTTATAAAAACCAGACTACAGCTGGACCACCGATCGCATAAAGTCACAGCGATAGAATGCATGCGGAGGATATATCGACAATCGGTAAGACATTAGATCTTATTTTTTTATCGCGATTTACAATCCGAGGTACTCCATCGGAACTGCCGTATTATACCGATGACGTATCGAATCTTGTAAATGTAACTCTTATATTTGCACATTTCTTTAATAAATCGACAATTATACTTCCCCTGTACGATCTAGATCTCTCAAAAACTTAAACTAAATTTTCACCACGTGAAAAAAAATGACGCGAGGGAGATCTATCTTCAAAAATATATAATCGCGACGAGATGAAGGGTCAGTGAAGTGAATAAAATAATTCTTGCATTCTTCTTTAAGTACATTGTGCATGTTGCATTATTAATATACTATATCTTTTTACAATATCCTTATCGTATAAAAATGTAAATGCGTAAATGTCGAGTTTATTCTTGACATGAAACTCGTATATATTTGTTGCTACGTGCAGATGGAAATCAAACGATTGCGCAACGTTAAATACATAATGTACATACAGTACATACATACGCATCTTTTCCAGAACCGTTCCACCACAGAATTTATTTATTTTGTAACAGCTGATAATTACGTACGTTAATTTAACTTCAAACGGATAATTCTGCAGTACTAATCACGCCGAGATGAAGGATCAGTGAAATGAATAAAAATAATGTTTACATTCTTCTTTAAGTACATTGTGCATGTTGTATTATTAATATTCTATCTTTCTGCAATATTTTTATTATATAAAAATATCAATGTAATGTCGAGCTTATTTTTTATACGAAGATCGCATTGCTATATGCTGGAAATCAAACCATAACGTTAAATATAGAATGTACATATACAAACGCGTTTTTTCCAGACTCATTCCACCGTAGAATTTATTTTGTAATAGCTGACAATAACGTTATTTCTTCTACGACGATAATTCTCCTGCGTTAATTTCCCTTGAAACGAAAAATTCAACAGTATTAGATAAAATGAGACACATCGTGCACATTATGAAAGTAAGTAAGATAATGTAAAAGATATATAAAACGCTGCAATTATAAAACTATATGTAACTAAACTGGGTAACTAAAAAGCTTACTCATGCAGCTACTATTTAAAATAATGTAGCTTCATGTAAGGTAAAAACTTTGACTCACTTGATTTTTAAAAATACTAAAAAGTCGAGGTGAAATATTGTACACAAAAATATACCGCGCACAATCTTCTTTTTATTGATAATGACATTTTTACACACGAAGATAAACCCGTTGGAAAATAGATCTTTTATTTATACTTTCCTTCTGAATATATCTTGCAGCTGTCATTTCCTCTGGAATCGATAATTGTATCGAATTTCCTCTAAAAACTGAAATTTATGCTGGTAGCTTTCCAGACCGTCGCGGTCGTTCATATCGATCGGTTTCGTTAGCGTCGCAAAACGTCGGAATTGCGTCGCGCTGTTCGACGAAATAATTAAGTAAGTAGGTACGTCGCGCGGAAACGAATTGGGAGAAAAATCTAAAACGACTAAGGGACCCGTCGCGAAATATCAACGACGATATCGCAATGGCATCGATAAGTATTTAGTGAACGCTAGTTGCGGCGCCAAGATTATTTTCTCGGTCGGCGATAGGTATAGGCGCTTATGTTGGGGCGAAGTGTGACTTCGTCGGATATAGAACTGATGTAATCATCCTTCAATATCTCGTTAGATTGCAGATATCAAAGTTTTTTTTATATCGAACAAGTTTTATAGCCCGAAATTCGCGAGATATATTTCAAGTAAGTATTATTACTTGAGGATATGTAACTTCGTAAATGCTTGATTTATAAGAATCCATTTTCTAAGAGATCTGTTATAAAGGAAGGATTACATTTAACTAATTTATAGAGATTAAACCATGCGAAAGTAATTTTTTATATATTTAACGTACAGCAAGATAATAACGACGTGCGATATAGTTTGTTGAAATTATTTCCGGTAAAACGAACTAGGTAACGACTTTTATTGACAAGAAACAATTTGCTTTCAATGTACGAATAACAAATTGTTCACTCTTGTCGTTTCGTCTTGTGGACACGTGTCAAATTGAACGTGTTTACTTGGAGAGAGAGTGACTGCACAGTTTATAATGCATACACGTACTGAGATTGCGTTCGACACGCCGGAATCGGGCCAGCTTCAAAACTGGCACCATGAATAGTACATCTGCGAATAGCATATCCAAGCAAAAATATCTTGGAAAATTCCACGCTATGTTGAGCAACGCTCGCGTGTAATAAATAGATTTATATATCCCGTCATCATCTCGTACATCATTGCGTGGATTCGTGCATAAAACTGGAAATACAAATTGACGTAAATCTACAAGAAACAGTTTTACATAAATAACTTTATGTAATTACAGTTTTGATATGATTACAAGTATATAGGAAATAATTAATGATGTTGAGGATTGAGGTCAAACTTACACGTTACAAAGAAATATGCATATAAAGTATGAAAACTACATCATTGATATAATAAATTAATATGATAAATAGTGTATAAAATAGTGTTATTAATTAGAATATGACAGTTGGAATAATCCTATAACGAAAACATTTCGAATATACAGGAAGGAAATATATGTGTAGATGTTATACATATTTTTCACATTAATTGTTATAAAAATAAATTAAAAATTAACATCGCAAAATTTACGCGCAAGTTAATAAATCATAGCGATGCATATTAAATAATTCGCACACTTGACGATTTGGATGCTAAGTCGAGTTGAAAAGATGATAATTATCTGGTTATTGATGAGACCCCTCTCTGTTATCGAAATATCATTTTATCTGTTTCTTTTTCATATCGATTTGTTAACAGCGATACACACCTCCGAATCGCTAAATTGCGAGTAGCATCTCAGTTTTCAGCTTGTCTTATCACTGATATGAACACTCGATTTAATGTTGTCTTTAACCGGGCATGCAGATATCACGTGTTCTCTCTTTCGGACCCCTTGGAGATTCCAGACTTTGAATATATCATTGATAAGTGATGTCATATCTTGATCGTATCACTATTATTTTATTATTCAAAGATTTGATTTCCATGTACGACTATTGGGTATAATTTTGCGATATTATTAATAATTAATTAATATTGATATGCACATGGTACAATAATTATTATCGTATGTTTAATGTATAATGTTTTTACATATATTCTCATTAATTATTAATTTATGAATTAGCTATTTAAAACCTTTTTATTTTGATAATTCGATTGTTTTATTAAATACATTTCAATTTTTTAATTTTTCTTTACTTTTTTCTTTTTTTCGGCTTCTTTCTTTTATATTATATGGACTTGGAACAAATAGCGTGATATCGAAATTATTAATGTGTTTATTACATATACATTATCGAAATAAATTAGATTTAAGATATCATGACGTTTATATGTGTTTTAATTATTTTCTTACAGGGTATCCTGGGATTCTACAAAGGTATCGTGGCATCCTATGTAGGCATAAGTGAGACTGTGATACACTTTGTGATATATGAAGCTGTGAAGGCGTGGTTAGCTACACATAGGTCGCGAGCTTCTCAAACGGACGATAGAAAGACGTTCCGCGACTTCATCGAATTTATGGCGGCGGGCTCATTTTCAAAAACGATAGCGTCAACTATTGCCTATCCTCACGGTAAGTACATTAAGTATATGTTATTTCGTGGTACGGACTTGCGGGACTCCCAATTAAACTCACATTTTTTCAAGAAAACGAATTTTTAAAATCTTGTTTAATGGATACTACTATTTGCAATTTTTTTTAATTACAATAATTTATTCATTTTCGTGTGCTTGTACTTGTATTAGTTACTTATAGTCTGATATATTGATTTCGATATTCGAGAAGTTCAATAGAAGTTAATTTATATCAATAGTTAAGGATTTTTAGTCTTGTACAAATTAAGAGAATCACTATCTACTAATCATTTAAAGTTATAAGTGGAAAAAATACTGAAAAAATTGTCTTTGCACTTATAATGATATAGTCTGAAGACTGCTACCAAAATACAACTTTTTTAGGATTACTAGTAGGTAACATCTTATTTTTCAATAAAATTGCGTTGTTCTGTATTCATATTTACCGTCAAACGTATTTTAGCTGAGTTTTGTTTACGATTTTTAATTTAAAATTAAATTATTTTTATATTAAAAAGAACACCAAAATACTTGATTGAATTTACAGTATTAAATTACATAATAATTAAGATGGGATGTTTATTTGACGCGGATCACCAGTGTCCGACGAGGCGTTAACGGAAAACTTAGTAGAAAATATTTTTTTATAATGCTCTGATTTCATTGATGAGTAGTAGATTTCTTTCTCTGCCACTGCCTTGCAAAGATTCTCCGAGTTGGTCTAAAGATAACACCAGAGCTATATCTGCAATGCGTGCCAGACACTCGGTATGTAATTAGGCGTTATATCTATCTACAAATATTCGTGGAGTTCTGGTTTGTCTTGTTTGAACGAAATAACATCAGGATCTAAATTACTATTATACCGTACTTGTTTCGAAATTGTTTTTGCAAATCATCATTACCATGCAGAGATCGCGTGCATCTTTCCGCAGAAGGCCATTGCATGAAATCGGAGCATTTCTATTCAGAGAAGAAGACTGCGTCATCATATCAAGCTATTTTCCAATCGTTACGCTAACAGGAAATCAATTTTATGATCACATATTTCCGATGTACTTTAGTTCATCCTGTCATTTAAATATGAGTAAAATCATGTTTGACGCAAAGAACAGAATTTTTACATACAGATCTTCTTCGATTACACTTACCTACAAATATAATGATTAAAATTTCAATCTGACAAAACTACGGTATTATCATATGAAAGTTATTTGTCTGAGAGTTATTGAAGACTTAATTTAAAAATTAATATAAACACATTTATGCGAGCAGAATATATTCGCCATCCTTAGCAGTAACTTCATAAGTTAAACGTAGGAGAGATGATCAAGAATGGATATAACTGTATCTCTTATTCTGTTTAGAGGTCGCGAGGACCCGGTTGCGGGAAGAGGGCACCAAATACCGCACATTCTGGCAGACCTTGAACACGGTGTGGGTGGAGGAGGGTACAAAGGGTCTCTACCGTGGTCTCGGAACTCAGCTGATCCGGCAGATTCCGAACACCGCTATCATAATGGCAACGTACGAGGCGGTAGTATACGTGCTGACCCGACACTTTCGGCCGGTTACGGTGACGACATCCAGCACCGATGTGACTTCGGAATTCTACAACGAGGCTAAAGCGAAGAGAGAGCTGGCCTAGGACTTGCTTACGGCCCCCGAATAAAGGGCCACCTATCAACAACCATTTTCCCTTCTCCAGTAGGCGAATACCGCACGTACTCGGGGGGACAGCGTCCTAAGATCCTAATCGCACGTCTAGGCGCATCGAGATCAAGCTGGAAACGCGTTCGATGCCCTAATCGTTTGCTCCAGGGGTACTCAAAAAGGTACCAGCTCTTTGGTCGCACTGTGCTCTAAAAGTATAGCAAAAAGTAGTCCTTCCTCCTTTCAGATAGCATGTACATATCCAGACACGGACCCGCTGTATCTCGCAGGGAGAAAATGAGAGAGGGGTGAGGGAGAGAAAGAGGGGAATTAAGGAAAGCACATTTTGTTTTGCGTCGGATAGACGAAGGCTGAGACGTCGCTTCTCATTTGCGAAAAATGTGGACGTGCGTGAATACCGCTTGTATTGCGTTATGAAATTTATTCGAGGCAAGATTTTTCTCTGCTCCAGAAACAAAACTTACTCCAAATCCAAAACGTGTGAGGCTCGTTGTAATAGTCACTTTAGGTCTTTGACCTAGGTTTTGATTGCTGTTCTCTGTTTCACGATTTGCAATTTTTCTTTGCATCTCGCTTCTTTTTCATTTTTTGTTTATACAACATGAAAAGAAAATAAAAAACAAAACCAGACTTTGAAATGGATCCCTATTTGTTACTTTGCTCGGTGAGAGAGCAGCAAAAACACAATAGCAATTTCTGAGTTTGAATTATGCCAGGCGTTTTGATTTTCCAGTTGCTTCAAGTGAAATGTTTTTGCTACAAATCGATTACTTTAACTGGTCCTGGTCGTAAATAGAATATTATACATCCACTCCTCTTAAAAGCTTCCACTCTAGGGCTCTAGTAAAAATCGTAATTTGCGTTTGTAAAATTATGTAAAATTGTGATAAGCATTGTATTTCGATATATATTGAATTTTATGAAAGAATTATTTTTTGTTTTATATATCCCAGAGTTAAATTTTAAGTGATATTATATCAGGCTTTAAACAGCAATAATGAAAACTATAGAAACTATTTTATTTTGATATTAGCATATCCAAGAAACGTTACCAGTAAGTTTGTATATATTTGTTATGCCAACATTCTGTTACATTTGAATTATGTACGAGGCAATTTCAAAATATTTCCGGAATTAGGTGATACAAACTGATTTGTGACTAAACAATAATGCACATTTGAATTTCTGCAGAAATGCGAGCAGAGATATTAATTATGTTATCGCAGCATATGATGACAGAGCAATAAAAATAATTTCGAAGCATTGACAAAAACAATGTTATTACTGTTGGTATTGTATGTATGCGACGGCATAGCTCTTTTTTTGTAAAATGACTCACAAGAATACTTTCAATGACTTTGAAGAAGTGCATAATCATGAGACAAGAAAAGCAGAAAGTGTTTTCTTTAAAGAAAATATAGCATAATTCTTGAGTATAAAATTTTCTTTTGTAGAAAATGTAGTATAAATGACTAAGTATTTTGTATTCAGAAAAATGAAAAAGTTCCAGAAACCTTTGAAACTGCCTTCTACACTTTATAAAGTTTTATAAAAAGTTTTCCAATAAATTCAATTTCACTTTATTACAGCGACAATTCTGTTTGATTTGTATTCTTTATTCTACCATAATTTTACTACATTTCCTCATATGTTTCAAACAACGATGTTTCAAACGATTTTGTCAGATTTCGATCTTGTAGATTTCCTCGTCGATATTTCGCTAATGTGCGATAACACGCGATTAGTTCTTAACGAACCGATATACGTTTTAACTTACTCTTAGAGACAAAAAGCAAAAATGTTAATGTTAGAATATGTATCGGAGGATTAGCGCGCGTTAGGCTGTTCTTATAGTTTCCTATTTTATTTACGTAGAAAAATATCGCGACGTTGTGTACATATCGAACCGTAGGCTCTAGCTGTCTACATTTACGGGCGTTCATATATTACATTAATCAGTTGTGTAATCGCATGATGTACTACAATCTTTAGCAAGAGAACTAAAAAAGTATTACAAGAAAATGAAATCACCGTCAATACACTTGTATCTCTTACAGATCAAATACGCGAAATAGTTAACGACTCCTCACTATATTTGTTTCTTGGACTACCTCGGGATACCATATATGGCTATTTTTGGAAAAGTACTAAAAAAGCAGGTTTGTTGACTTTAAAATTCCTATAGAGATTGTTTCATAAAAGAAATGTCAATTTTTTGTTTTTTTCAAACAAAACTGTAACAGTCGTTAAAAAATAATTTTCTCATTTTTATTTATAAGTAATCTTCAATTTTTGTTCATCAAAGCATAATAAACGATTATAGTTTTAATTTAAAACGTTTCAATATTTTATTACGATATCTATGTTTTCAAATGCGTGCCATCTCGTTATATGATGTGTTTTTCTTTCTGCACAATGGCTATGTAATTCTCTAATAATGAAGTTTATTAACATTTTACGTCAAATGTTCTAGAATTAAATTTTATATGTTCAATATGTTCCGCACACTTTTATGATGTTCAGAAGTATATTTATATTATATATTTACATATTGTTTCTTAGAACCAATCGTATACTTATAACGATCGGTCCACACTCGATTTATGCCATGGTTCCGATCAAGAAAATCGAGAATGGGAATACATGGTTACATATGCGTACATTTCTGGTTATCTGGTTATCTGGGGGGAAGCCTTTCTTCATATTATACGTAAAGAAACTGTGATTTTATTTTATTCATTACCAGTGGAGCTTGGCGCTTATCAGTACAGCAGGTTGTACAATGTTCATATAGTGTTTATGTACTTTGTCCTATAAGTCGTATAAATTAGATTTAGAAGTAATTAAGAAAAGGTAGAGACTTTTCGGAGGATAACAAAAAAAATGTTCACTCGCTTATCTTTTAGTCAATTCTGGATGATTTTTAATGAAAATATAATTATCACCGACAAAATTAGTACCTACAAGTGAAAGATGCGCGACAGGCGAGTCTGTCTTTCTCAAAGATGAAGCCTAAGAGAAACGTCTGATTGTGAGAGAAATATGCGACTTCTAGAACACTGTATGTGATTGATATGTTAATTGTTAACATCTTGTTGAGACTTCTATGATATACCGTTGTCAATTGTAAAAATGTAATGCTCCAGGAATACAGATTCTAAGTGCCAGGCTGTTATTAGTCGTGCATAGTCATTTACGCAAGAGTATCGTGCACCTCTTAAAGGAATCGCGAAGGTAAATGAGAACCGAATGCGTGTGTGCCAAGTGTAAAGCGTGTATAGATATTAGATAAGGAATCATTGGGATAAGCAATGAATTTTTTTATTGAAGTCAGAGATGGCGAGCGACGAAAAATGCAAAGAGAATGACAGGAGGAGAGAGAGAGAGAGAAAGAGAGAAATATTTCGTGTACGAGAAGCGAGTGTTTCGTTAAAGACTGACGTTGTACAATTACTTAGCGTAGCGTGAGAAAATCAATGCGTATACAAGTATATGCAAAGGTCCTGCAATTGCGCGGAAATCGCGTTCTCGAAACCGGAAAAATTAATTTAAGTTTCAGGAAATACATGTAAAATACCAAGCGCGTCGTTATTTTTCTAAATAAAGCATTTTATTCGTTTCTCAACTTTTCATTCGTATTCGGGTAGGATATTGCTGGAACGAGAATTCAATGAGATATTCGCAGCGACAAACGTTAATCAAACTTAACAAAGTCTAACAAAAGTCTAACAAGGAGAAAAGCCGTTGCTGAAGTCCGGCTTTCTCCGAAGGAAACGAAGCCTCATACATGTAAAAAATTTATTGTACATTTTCAATTTATTTTTTTATGTAGGATTACCTTCCCGATTGTATTATCGATCACAGGGTATCCCGTGTATGTATATATAAGCTTGCGGTACCCAGTAAGAAAACTGTAATGGATAAATTTATGTGTACATAGATATCTCAATAAAGAGTAAAGTAAAAAGTACGTCGCGCGCGTTGTTCGCTTCACAATCCTTTTTCGCAATCAAAAATCAAGAATGAGATTTTTCTTTATATATATGTATATATATTCCCAATTTTATAGCGCCCTCCGGTTTACTAGCAATTTTCTTCCATTCAACCATTTCGTGTGGGCTGTCCGGCTTTTTTTTGCTAAATTCAGACAAAATAATAAAATTTTCAGATTTTTCCCGTCAATACATATGTATTTGTAAAAATCTGTGCAATTTTTCATAAATTTTCATTACAGATACTGAAATATTCCGAAAATCTCCATCCAATTATTTCTGAAAGCATCTGAAAAATTGTACATATTTCTTCAGAAGTTTTCATAAGCCTCAATTCTTACAAAATTTCGGGGAAAATATGAGAAATTTTTTCATCGGAGTTAACATCGGTTTAACTAACTTTTGTTCTTTTTTTAGTTCAAAGACTTAGAAAATGACAAAAAGTAAACTTGGTAGAAATGGGCATTATATAGTAATGCAATTAGTTTAATTATAACGCAATTAGTTTCGAATAAGATATTAGCTCTTAATAAACCGATTTTTATTTACTTTTAGAGATAAAAGGAATAATAAGTCTAAATTGTGTGTAATCTACCCTCCGCTTTTCTTCGCGAGAGGAAGCGAAAGTTCCCGCGACCGTCGGGTGGCGTCGATCTATCGCGAGATCGCTCGCTCGCTCGCGGTTGATCCGCGATCCGCGTCCGAGCAAATGGCGGCCGCGCAGTGGCACGTACAACGTTGCGACCGATCACCGCCGTTGTATCGATGGCAGTCCCGAGCGATGACGCGATGGTGAATAGCACGGTACGCGCGGAACGGCTCGTGGGCAACGAGTGCCGTATCTGCCTCAAGCCCTGCACGGAGGTGTGCCAGCTCTTTCGCGACGATGGCGGAATACCGGAGAAACTGATGGCCATTGCCGCCGTGCAGGTTAGCGCTCTCCTTTTCTCCCTCTTTCTTTCTCTCGCCAGCCTTGTTTTGAAAACCGCCTCCGCGTCTCGGACATCTCGCCTTGGAATTTTTCTGCACGCTCGACGGATGTTCTTGAACCCTGTTCGACTTTTCGAAGGTTTTTACGCTTCTGCCCCTGCCCATTTGTCAACCCGCCGATGCCAACGCCGTTGTTTTGGACGGACCAGTGTTGTTCTCCGTTAACACCGACTCTCGGAGAATTATCGGCGGTTTCGAGGCCAGGGATCGTTCGGGGCAACATCCCGCGACCTTTTTCCATCATTTCAACGTAAAATTAATCCCGCGGAAGCGATTCTGCTTTGTGGTTTTACGTTCTTTAACTTCTTACTGCGATGTAAACAATGGGTTTGTTTTCCATCGCTGAACTAGTACAGCCAGTTCAGCAACGGAAAACAGACCCCAATAACATAGGGAGCTTTCCAGCAAGCGACACAAGTCGACACAAGTATCATTTTGTCTTTGTTACTCATTGCCAAAAAAGAAAGATAGAACGACGTTTGTGTCGACTTGTGTCGCTTACTGGAAAGCTGCCATAAGCTAGTCACAATGGGCACATTCCATTTAGCGCTCGCAACGCTTATAGAATCATTTCATTCTTTTGTTTAAGAAATGTTAAACAGGAATGAATGACGCTCACGAGCGTCACGAGAACACCACATGGAACCTACCCCTACCCAATGTCATTTACAGAGATATACTTATGCCTATATGCATCACTCTTCTTTCAATATAAATATACCTTTGCGAAGTGAAACTATTGAGATTTTCGCAAATTGCAGGTGGAGGAGGGGGACGGTCTGCCAGCTTACATCTGCCTGTCCTGCAATCATCTGCTCGACGTGTCCTACGACTTCAGGTGCCAGATTCAGAATTCCGACATCAGGCTACGTCAGATCCTCAAGTCGCAGGTTCAACCTATGTTGCACGAGAAACATACGAAAGACATGAAGACCATGATGAAAGATATCACGGACGCCGTATCCGACGTGATGTCTTACAAGAAAGATGATCATGTCATAGAGCAGGACATTTACTCGTCTCACGATATCGTTACGTTCGACAGTACTGCCGTTCAGTCCGATTCGGCGATTAATGATGAATCTCACATGAGTCACAAGTTCATGCAGAAGACGGATGAAATTATCGAACCGAGTGAAAAAGATTCGTCATACGATACATTTAAAGAGAACGTAGACAGTGCTGAAATGATGGAAATAGCTTTGTGTCACGAGGCAAACGTGGACGATGCGGCTGCCGATCATTCGGATCGATTGTCCAGTTCGACGACGGAAGACAGATGCATCAAGCAGGAGCAGTTGCTGCTACCTGAAGACCACGAGACGTCGGGGAGTTTAACGGACGAGAATCGGGAAGATTCGTTGAAGATTGAAGTTAAGAATAACGTATTATTGGAGGACTTCAACGACCACGAAGTTTCGAGGGAGATCGCGGTATTGAGAACGGACAATCGGGATACGAGGGGCGTCGCTAACTGCAGCGACGACGAGGAGAAGCCACTCATAAGCAGGACGACCAGGCAGAAGTGCGCGTATTGCATCAAGTCGTTCGCGACGAAGGTCGCGTTGCAGCGACACATGAACGTGCACAAGCACACGAAGCTGCGCTACGTGTGCGTCGTGTGCGACAAGCAGTTCTCCAACATCGACAAATTGAAGGGCCACATGCTCACGTGTCACGAGGGTCAGACTACGGACGGTAAAGCGTCGCAGGATGACAGGAGGACGAGCAAAGTTACGGCGAAAGTCACCAGAAGCGGCAACCTGACGGACAGCGTGCGGGAGGAGAAGAAAAACTTCAAGTTCACGTGTAAAGTCTGCTCGAAGCAATTCATATATCAGAAGTCCTTTGTGTCTCACGCCAAGAGCCATGCCGAATACGATATGGAAGTGGACGACGTGCTCGATCAGTTCACGAGTAAGACGACGGACGAGCAGAAGGATAGGATGCCGACGTTCAAGGAAAACGAATCCGAGGAGGAGGAGGAAGAGGAGGACGACGACGACAGCGACTTGCCGATCGAAAGTCTACAGTGTACTCAGTGCGGCAAGCTTTTCGCTACGAAGAGGAACCTGAAGAGGCACATCTCGACGCACAGCGGCTTGAAGTTCAATTGTTCGACGTGCGGCAAAGGATTTTCGAGGCTCGACAAGCTGAAGGATCACGAACAGTCGAAGCACAAAGAGGAAATATTTGGCAATACTGACGACGAGGACGATGACGAGGAGGATAACGAGAGCAAAATCAACGAGAATTCCGAGAACCGAAAGAAGGCAAGTTCTATGCACTTATTGTATTTGTAAAAATATTAACCACGGAATAATCATTACAACTCTTATTCTTCAGTTATTTTATAATATCTCTATTTGTTCCTACAAAAAGATGCGTATCTCTGACGACACAGCTTTAACGCAGTTTCTTCTCTCGTTGCAGGACCGACACAACAGGCCACACAAGTGCGCGCTCTGTCCAAAGGCGTTCGCGCAGGCTCAATCCCTGGCAAACCACGTAGAGAGGCATAAACGGGTGAAGGATACGCAAAAGCGGTTTCTCTGCGAAAAGTGTAGCAAGTGCTTTGCTCAGAGTGGCTCGCTGGTGGCGCATATGCGCACACACACCGGCATCAAGCCGTACGTATGCAACACGTGCAGTCGCGCCTTTACCAAGAGCACGTACCTGCAGCTGCACCTGAGAACTCACAGCGGTGAGAAACCGTATATCTGTCAGTACTGTAGCAGGGCGTTCGCTCGGGCCAACACTCTGGCGCGGCACATCACCATGCACACCGGTGAGGCCAAATACCATTGCAACATCTGCACCAAGTCCTTCCGGCGACTGACCTCGCTGAACGAGCACACGTACACGCACACCGGCCAACGACCGTACGCGTGCAAACTCTGCACGAAGAGGTACAACAACGCCGGCTCGTTATATGCTCACACGAAGAAGTGCAAGGCGCAGCAGTTGTCCAGCCCGACCACGACCACATACGCGGTGTCCACGGCGGACAATGCGCCGCAGCAGAACGACACGACCATGCCCCAACTGCTGATTTATTCCCAGAGGAAGCTGGTGGAAGAGGCGACTATTGGTCAAGTCGTATCCACGCCGCAATACATGGTAACAAATGTGCATAATCAAAAAACTGTGCCCGCGACGGTGCCCGCCAACGTGATTCAGCCCTTCACCGTGGAGGATCCGAATGTATATAATTCAAAGCAGTTTAAGAACTCGTATTACGCTATTTATCCAAATAACATATAATAACGCGTTGATCACGTTCGATTGTCGATTGATTGTCTTCGCCCAGTGATTTTATTTCAGTTTGATTCACATGATTTTTAGACAAGAGTTGGTCTAACAATCTGACATAATATTACAATAAGAAGAAAACAAGAAAGAGAGATAAATAACGTTCTGTCGGTGAGGCTCAAGAAATATATTAAGCGTTTAAAATTGCTAGTATATATAGAAAGAGGAGATTTTTCGTGAGTAATTTGAAAATCGAAGATTGAATTCATTAACAAAATTAATCAAAAAAATATTTTTTATTTATATGAAATATTTGAATTTATTGGTTGAAGAGTTACACAGAGTAACATACACATTACCGCGAGAGAATTTGCTGAATGGCGCGTATCGTGCTCGAACGTCAAGCATGCAAGTGTAGTAGTATTTCACGAATGACTCAGGTTATAGAAGTTAGAGGAGGTCTCGATATAACAATGTACAAAATATAAAAAGAAAATAATGCCGTTGAAATTAGAAAAAGTTAGAAATATCTCAGTAGGTATCTCTATATATAAATTTTGTATAAATGAATTCGTGGACATGAGAAAATAGATTGACTTGCACCGATTTTAAAATGTCTATTTGAAGAGGAAGGAAGAAGAGAAGTTATAATTAAATGGAAAGAATGAGCAGTAGTGAGTATAATCCTGATTGCGCTGTGTTATTAACGCAGCTTCGAATGTGTCAAACAGAGTGCGATATATTTCAGAACAATGGGGTAATGTATAATAAATAAAATAAATTTGAATATATTTTTGTAACATCTACACGTTGCGTTGCTATTAGATAGGAAAATACTGACAATGAGCCGCACACAAATACAATTGGAGAAAAACAATGTTTTATGCGTAACTATCGGATTACACCGAAATATAATTTATAATATTAGATTATGAGATGCTAAATTAAATGAAATAACTTATTCTTACTTCGCATTTTTTTAAATTTAGGTTTTACAACATAAATAATATCAATAATATATATACAGGCGGACCCTGTTCTACAAATTATTTTATAATCTGCTGTTTTTTATAGTTTTGAATACTTTTGTTAAAACTATATTGAATTATGAACTATTGAAATTTACTGTAATATTAGATTTTAGTCAGTCTAGCTATTTCTTATGTCCACGAATAAATTATGTAATATTGGATAAGCAATTATATTTAAATAGTTCTTTGATTGAAGATATATATACTATACATATATCTCTTTGATTAAAGATTAATCATCCATACGTGTCTCGCCATCATTGTTCAAAATTGTAATGATACATATTTTTAATCGCTTTTTCTTAGCAATAGTTTTATGGGAGATTAGAAAGAGAAATTAGTTTCATCAATTTTTTTATATTTGACATTATAAATTATTTATTGATTAAATTTCAGAAATAAAATGTCTTTCAAGATTTATATGCCAATTAAATTAAATAATAAAGATCTGTCTCGTTGAGAAAAAAGGGGATATCAAATTTACTAGATTTACTAAAGGATCAATTGTTTAATTTTTGATAGTGATAGTGATAACTGATAGTAATAAGACAGTCTGGATAATTGTAGTATAATAGACATAAAATTTTTAGTATGAAGACTGGAATGCTATAGATCACTATATTATTAAAACAAAAAAATAGACGATAAGGAAATTGTTTACTTGATGGTAAAAAGAATATTTTCGCTGAAATTACTATTAATATTAGATACGTCCGGTAAAAAATTAATTTTCCATTATACTTTTATTGTATTTTATTGTAAAACGGTGATCGACTTTCGTATGATATTTACAAAAATGTAATGTACAGCGTGTTCTTTGAAGAGATTGAAAAAATATATATTTGTAAATAAATTAAAATATATTATAAATTATATGCGTCTTCGTGTAAAAGTAGCAGATGTCCCAAAGGTGACTCGCTCATACTTTTACGCAGCATCGCGAATGTCGGTAAAGCTAACACAATGCAATATTTTATAATAAAGTTTATATAAAAATAATCATGTATGTGTGTTGTATGTTTCTTTCTGTGCTGAAATAACTCGTAAAATAGCTCGTAAAAATAATACAATTTAATAATGGATGTAAATAATAATCCTGATCAAATTATTAATATAAATGGATTGGGATGATTCGAAATATTAAAGTTTTGTCAAAGTTCCTTAATTTATACATATATTTTTCGATTAAACGCGATGTTATTTTATTTTGAATTTATTGATTTTTTACTGATTATTATTTATTGTTAAGATACAACTAATAGCATTTTATTTCTTTCACTCAAGTTTCTATTTAAATGCGTTTTACAAAGAGATCAGCTATTCTGGTTTATAAGATAATTGAACTTGTCTGAAAAGTTTTGAAATGTCTATGCATGGCATAAAAAGTCTATGCATCTTATTTGTAGAACATTTCCATTTCTACTCATTCTATTGTCAAACCGGAAGCATCTTATAAGCTCGACTTATATACCACTTGAACTGTAAAGGTCCCTTTATATGGATTTCCCTCGGAGACCCGTGGAAAAATCGTTAATTTCCGATGTGCCCAGCTCGCATGAAAGAAAAATGATCGCCCGCTGTGTTTTCAGGCGCGGAAATATTAAATTGTATTCCTGCGGGTCTTCGCGGGGCCGAAAGGCGATGCTGGGCCGCGGAGGGTGTCCGAGATCACTAACCAATATTTAATCAACTTTGCAGGAGAGAATATTATTCTCTGGACAAATCAAGGACATATGTATCAGACCCGCAAGGGGAGAGGCCGACACGTTCGTGCGTATTGATACCAAAGACACACACATCTCGTGTACGCGTTGCTCTTTCAGCGAACAATGGCGTAATTCTGAGAGCGAAAGTACGCGTTTTCTTTTAGAAAATTATAAAATTTTATTGTCTTAAATTAAATATGAATTTGGTTAATTTTTTAAATTGAAAAAAAATGGATGCGTGAATAGATACAATATTATTTATATAATTTATACATGCGAAATGCTGATTCATTCTTATTGAATATTGTTTATTTAATAAAACGCAGTTTATTTTTTTTAGAAAAATGTAAATAAATGCATTTTTATGATTTTATAATTTACAAGTACATTATTTGCTTCAACTAAACTATTCTTTTGATTTTATTTCAAGTATTTTTCAAAGTTACATGTTTCTATATACGCTGATTCATTTATTTGCCAGCGAAGAGGCCGTGCTTCCGGCATCGACACGACGTCTCGTTCATTATACACAGGATTTATTCAAAAGGATACGCCTATGTAACATACGGTTGTATGTGTGTGTGTGTGTCGCCCGGAGATGTGCACGGTGGCAGCGTGCGACACACGTTCCGCGTGCCGGGAACGGGATTCCCCTGGGATAAGATTCAGGAAAGAGGGTGGAAGCTGTTCTCATCGTGGCACTCTCTCTCTCGTGAGAACAAGTGCAAAACAAATGTCGCACAGGAGCCGGTCGACCGATGTGCACCGCCGCCGTGCCATGCTCGTGAAAATTGTTTCTCTAGGTCGAAATAAATCATATTTTTCCTTGCCCCCCCTCTGCTGGGGCTACCTCTCACTCGCACTACGTGAAAGACGTGAGAAATTTCAATTTGTTTGGGTGCTAGGGTGTCTTAGCTCGCGTGAAATATGCAGTGTATATCTCAAAATTATCGCATTATTTTCTAATTAATAGTTTCATTATTTGATGAATTTAAGCCTGATGAGTAAATTATATTTAATGAATTTGAATCTTTTCTTCGCAAATCGAATGAGAATAATAATATTCTGCGCCATAACTTTTTAATGTTTAACTTAATTTTAAACTTTATATACTTCAACTATCAAAACTCGTATAAAATTTCTATTAGATTAAAGCTTGAGATTAACAAAGATATCATAGGATATTTTTATTAGTGAAACCGGTGAAAAACAATGAATTTATACATTTTTCAAAATGATCGCGCAGTATTAATCATGATAATTTAATAAACATTAATATGAATAATTTTATCGTAAAATTGAGTTTAAACAATAATTTTTAACTGAGATTTGTACAATATATCATAGAGAGATTTCATATGTAACATAGGATTGTTTTTTTAATTAATTTGAACTAAGAATTAATCATTTAAGAACGTGATACGATGTAGCTGGTGAGAGAGATACTATTAATTTGATTTAGAATATTACAACCTGTATATTTCCTTGTCTATTTTCTTCTGCTAAGAACAGATAACAAATCGTATCGAAGTAATAATCGAAAGCCATTTAACAAGTATTAACGAGAAATTTGTAATAAAAAACCGTGTAGGAATTTTTGCGACATACTAATATACAATGGTAATTATTGATCTATTTTCTTCATCGTATATTTTTTATTTGTTAGCGTTTAATTAGCTGATATTTCTGGGGATTCTTTCAATCCTTAATTTCTGTCTAAATCCTATGTTAATAAATTGACGCGATAAGAAATAACATATCAAAAATACCGTTAGATAAAATCTGAACATTAAAACAGCCGAATATTCACAAAAATAGTGTCTCACTTTATACATAGAAGACAGTTATAAATTGATTTTTAATATAGTTGATAAAAAACTTGGTTTTTCTTCCACAATTTCTGTCACTAATAATGAAAATTATATAATTTTAGTGAGCTTAGTTTTCCATACGACGGACATGATAAAATATGCGTCAATCATTACATTTAGCTTACAAGATCAAGATTATCTAAAGATCTAAAGTCTAAAGCATAGAGATTACTTAGCTCTCACCAAAACTATACCACCTTCCATTCGTAATGAAAAGTATTAAGTACTAGAAGAAAATGTGACGTTGTTTTTTAACATTTTTATTAAATGTGTCAAAAAAATCACTCTTTTAATACAGATTTAATATAGATAGTAATTGTCATATCTTTTTCAAGAATATTGGTATATTTAAGTATACTTTTTATATATTTTGTAAATAATATTCTTTACCTTTTCATTTAAATAAAAAATATTTTTAAGTTGCTTTTAAGATTTTTATTACCGCTAAACTTTTTTCCAACTGAGTAATACTATTAGGATCTTAGAGAAATCGATTAATTTAATCAATCTGACAAAAATGAGATGTATAGGAGAAATTTTGTTTGATGCAATGTTGCTGCTTGAAACAAATGAGAAAGAAATTGCTTTAATGGCAATTATTATGTAGATTAAATTTGTATTAAAAGATTGATTTTGATACACATTCGATAAATCTGTTAAAAAACAATATTATATATTTTATCTCTTTTTCTATATCTCTCGCTGCCTTTCCATCTCTCGTTCTTTGATTTAATATTTAGCGGTCTGGACATGACCAGTTTCAGGCGTTTTAGCGTCGACGCGCGACGCGAATAATTCGGCCTGTGTGATATCCTTCGCACGGCACGGCACGGCACGCAGGTGTAAACAGCTTCCGAGGATCTTCGCCGCCGCGGTACGGGACGCGACGCAGCCTCCTGCAGGCTCCTCGCGTCCACTGGAGCCTGTCAGGACACAGCGGCGGCGGCGTCCTCCGTGGCGTCGTCGCCGGCGTCTCTGCGTGGGATCGATCGTAGAGCCGAGGGTGGGGCGGCCGGAGGGGCGCGTCATCGAATGATAGCACTCATTCGGGCTGATGGCCGTTTGGGGAAGAGGGTTGTCTGGTACCTCCGGTAACCCGGAGGTGGTGCCGCGTAAATCTCGAGAGAGGGGTGGAAGTCGGCGTTACCGACACGGGGCGGTGTTTCAACCCCCGTTCTCGTCCCGGGGATGTTCCAGTCGCCGGCGAATCAGCTTCCGCGCCGGCGAGGACCCCTACGGAAACGCAACCCCTGCGAGTCAGCCACGGCCACACCCACGCTCCTACCCGCGGCACCGGCGGTTATTGAATTAAGCTTATCATTTGATTTTGAGGAGACCCACCAGTCGGTCGTACGGGGCGCTCTTAAGCGGGCCGGAAAACTTCTTCCTATCCGCGGTGTAATCGCAATAATTTGATATCGCTGATCCGATTACGCGTCATAAGCCGCTATCGAGGAACCCAACCGGCGGCCCGGCACGGTTCACGGTTCCCTCGCTGAAGCGTCGCGGACGAGAGAGCGGCGTGCCGCTCCTACCGCTCGCGTCTACCCGGGGTCCGCGGACGAGCGGGCCCAAAGAGTACGCGCGGGTACAAACGGGCCCGGATAAGCCGCCGCGCTTACGTGACGCTTCTATAAATCTCATTCGTCGCATTCGTCGTCACATTCGCACGTTTTCGCGCAGCGAGTGTCTTTTTTTTCCCGTAAAGTTTGCAAGGGACATTGTATACATCCTACCTATATCTCCGGACAATACCAATGTGTCAGACGTCGTGACTTTTAACAGCCAGCCGTCGATTTTTTTTTCGGGTGCGCGTAATTCAAGGCTAACACGCGTGGTCCCTCACGGTCCACCGGAGTGCGAAGAAACGACTCTCCGAGCACCAAGTGTCGTCGAAGTAACACGCAAAGTGGATTTACTTGCAACCAGGCCCGCGGCATTATGGACTACTCGTATCTGAATCAGGCCGCGGCCGCGGCAGCGGCCGGTTTCGAGGCCTCCAGCTGCGCTTTGGCCGCCGGCGAGATGCAGTGTAGTTACGGGGACCTGAGCTCGTGCTCGCAGATGAGCCAAGCGGCGTATCGTTACACCGCGGCACGGGCCGCCGGGTATCCCGGTAACGCGGCCGCTGCCGCCGGCGCCGCGGCCGGCGGCACGCCGCTGACGGCCCATCACACCGCCCACCCCCATGCCCACACGCACCACGGGGCCCATTCGACCCCCTGCTCCGTAATGGCCGCCAGGTCCCAGGAAGTCCATCGGCACGCCGCCTCCATCTTCCCGTCGGCCATCAATCTTCAGAGTGAGTGACGTTTGAGCGTATTTTTCAAGTGCTCAATCATTGGAGCTTTTGATTAGTGTAACTTTCGGGTAATTCTCGAATTATGTAATTGTTAAATCTGTAATTGCTACGATGGAATCAAAACTCGAGTCCAAATGTTTTGTCTTACAATTAGTTCAAA